AAATCTCTAGATTGGATATGACCCCTCTGTGTTGGTCCTTTGTCAGGAAGCAGCCTCTAATAATTGTGATGTTGGTACAACGGGTATCACCAGAGCACTTGTACCTGATACGCAGCTTGAAGTTAGAGGGCTAGGAACGAAAGCCACAACATTTCGTGTTGATTGTGAGTTTTGTGTCTTGTACTCACTGGCAGCTAGGATACAAAATTGACTAACTTGAGTTTGAATGGGTATTTTTCTAGCTTTAACATTTACAATATTAAATCTCTAAGTCAGATATGGTCGTGGTTAGCGACCATATCCCGGGGAAATATCGGGCGGGTTGAAAGGACATGATGGATAGCTAGTTGGATATTTTCCTAGCTTTAACATCTATGATATTAAATATCCACATGGGATTTGGTCGCAGCTAGCGGACATATCCCGGGGAACTATTGGGGTGTTGTAAGGGCGTGTGGTGGATAGTTTGTTGGGTCTACGGAGCATAGACGGTATTAATTGAATGGGAACCTGACATTTTATCGTTTTCTTCACAAAAAAAGAGTAGATTGGGAGCGTGACAGGAAAATAGACAAAGACTACACTTGAGCTTTGATCAATAGATGACCCCCACCAATGTGCAATGACCCGGGAGATTTGAAATGGGAGTTTGTAGATCGGGAAAAGCCAATGCGGGGGGGATAGAGAAAACGTGAAACTCAACAGAGTGGAGATTTCATAAAGCAAGAAGGTACCATTGACGGAGGTAGTGAAACAAGCAAAGAAGGGGGAAAAGGAGGGGAAGAAAAAAAACAAGAACTAGAAAGCTCCCAAAGTCGATTGATTAATTAATTGATTGATTGAGGAATGAACAAATGGGTTAAGAGGACTCCCTTTTAGCCTTCTCCGCCGCGGCTCTTCTGACATCTGCTCCGCTAGCCCGTTCCCACAAATCTTCTCCCCACACCGTAGCTATCTCGAGGATAGCACTTGGCCTATCAATGGCCGGTCTGACATCTAAGTAGAAGACCGGCTCACCCGTAGGCTCCGGCGGCGCAGAGTAATAATCGATAACGTAGCGAACCTCCTGTCCGCCCTGTCGGAGTACGTACCAATCATGCCTATCGAATGGCGGGGGTCCCCTAAAATAAACACACAATCACTAAATCACTCTTCACAGTCCCGACCAATCAGTCAATTGATCAAGAAGACCTACCCAAACCTTTCCGGATAAATTCTCCCAAGCACCTGGAACATCCTCGCCTTGGGCGTCATCTCCCGGCTCTTCCCTTGAAACCTAACCAACTTCGGGAACCCTTCTTGTTCCCTCTCGGGAGCCCCACCCCGCTCGCGCGCATCCAGCAGGGCACTCAGCACTCCGCCGCCGAAGCGCTTCTCCCACTCCACAATCTCGCCCCATGCGCCTTCGTTGAGGAAGTTGTGCACGGCGACCATACTCTCTACTGCCCCCTCGGGCGTGTCGTCGTAACCCTTCCGGCGCATCGCGTTGTACATCTGCTGCGGGGATGGGTACTCCCATAATCCAGAATCACCACGCGGGATACTGGAGGTCTCACGCTCCGTTGGCAGATGGGTACCTTGCCCTGGGGCGCGGGATTGCGGGAGGCTGCTGAACATCAGGTTCAGGGGGTTGATGTCGTTATCCGAGGCGGTGTCGCTGTTGCTGCCGAGGATTTTGGAGAAGTCTGGCGGGGTGGATTTGTGCATTGGGCATGAGGGCTGCAAAAGTGTTTTATCAGTTTGTTGTTTTAAAAGGGAAAAAGCGGAGGGCTAGGGGATTAGGAGGATTACCGGTGGAGATCCAGATGTTGGATGCTTCGGAGGAGGCCTAGGCCTGAACCTCGGAGTGGGTTTTTGTTCTTGCTCTGCCCAGAACCAGCCCATTTCGTTTCGCCTGCGTTCCTGTTTGACAGGTGTTTGAGTGTCCCCTTCTTCTTCTTCCTTGCCGTATAAATTGTTGAGGTGGCGGGGTCGATGAAATAGAGGGGGAGTTTTTGAAGATAAGAGGTCAGTGAGGCTAATTTTTCGGCTGTAGTTACCGTTAGCTGTTCACTAGGTTGGGGCTGATAGGAACAAGGTCGGGCGCGATTAGTCAGCTACCTAAAGTTTTGGTTGGCGGAGAGGAATAATCTATGAAAATAGACTCTGAGAGTCGGATCATTGGTTGTGGTTTCTCTGTGCTGTAAAATGTGCTTATGATATCTCGAGTCCGGGATTTCCCAAGAATTAGTTATGATGGTGATTTTTTTTCCATGATGCAGTTCCCATTCTCCTCGACAGTGGTGTCATTTATGAGCAAGACGGCAGGGACATCATCCTCATGTGACAAAGATTCTACTTCACCCGACATCCGAACCCACCCACCTCAATCCCATATCCTCCCCCTGCAAGTAGTTTCTGTGAGCAGAATACAAGCAGCAGAGACAGAACAGTGTTTGAAGAATTCCCATCTGGTAAACTGCGGATGTAAGGTGGAATACCATACTTGTACAAAACAGCATCCCATAACAGGACACAGTAAACCGCAAACCCCGGCACCCGGTGATAGGGCCCCTTCCCGCAAACTTGGGACCAGAGAAATCAACTAATGTACCAGTACCGCCCCCGCTCAAGCCTCTCTCGCATGATTTGGGTTTTTCAAGGTTCTGCGACCGTTTGGACGCAGAAAATTTAGAGACCCCTCGGTTATGGGGGTCAAGAAAAGGAGAGGATAGCAGGAAGGTTCACCGGAGGTCTGAGGGAGTGGAAACAGCTATGGGCCAGTGTTTTTACAGCTAGTGTTACGAAATTGTGAGGCCGATTTCAGCAGTTCCAACCATTTCTTACGCTTTATTAGAGCGAGAATCGCCCACATCCTCTGGGATCCCTGCTCCCATTTCTGTATGGCTATGGGAGCTACGTGATGGGGGGGGGGTAACAAGGTGGCTAAATTGTTAGCTAGGGAAATGGCCAGTGCCTAACCCATATAACAGAGTAGTAAAGGCCTCCATAACTTAGTCTGTATTGTGATATCCGAATTAGCAAGAGAGAATTTGTGAGCGAAGCCCCAGTATGCTAGGAGAAGGGTAGTGCTTTCGAATTGATTACTCGATAGATCCTACAAGCGAAGACTGTCAAATCCACCCACCTAATGTCAAGATTGATGTCAACCTATCCTCATTTTTCACCCGCCCGTTCGGGGAGTTATGTCCGACCTCAGGTGGGCCAGGACGAGTATCTGTGTAGAGGGGCGATTGGTTTCCCCAATTGCGATAAACGGGGAATGTAAATACCCGTGTACGGAGGGGCGAAGTAACTCGTTTGACTTTCTGAGCAAGATAAACATGTGCCTCAAAAGTAAAAATTCCTATAGATGCTACACTACTGCATACAGACATCTCCTTGGCACAATCTGTTGTGGCCCGGGTGAAAATATCCAGCAATTGGCCATGGGATGAAGCTAATGCGAGTGATTTTTTATGATACCCGATCACACTCAGCTGTAGTCTTAAGCACTAATTTGTGCTTGATAATATCATGGATCCCTTTCGACGAAAGGTGCAGTTCTGTGTGAGGAAACCACAGAGGGATAACTATTGGCAAGGAATTTTTTCCACCAATTATCTCCAAGCAGTATTACATATCACCAGTCGTGCAAATCAACACTGCTCCGAATCATAAAAATCTTCAGACAAGCATGATACTGGCAGAAGCTTAAGCTTCCCTACAATTATTCTACTCTTGGGCAAATCTTGCAGCGAGGCCTATAGCTGCCAAAATTTTATAATACCGGCAACATAATGGGTCTGAATGATCAAAAGAATTCACCAAAAAAACAGAGAAAATTAAAATGCAGAAAGGTCAAGGTCGGAAGGGGCATGGAATAAAAGGAGCAGGGGGAACCAATGACCGAGCCATAGATATCACTAGGTTTAGCTAGGGGTGGGAGGCTAGATATCCCAAAAATGAAATGCTTTTATGGCCTAGCGGAGTCAAGGTAGGGGACTTAGTGTGTAAGAGTACTATCACCACTACGAGTGCGATATTCTCCCTGAGTGCCAATGTTGGTTAAACTTGGCTTTCTCCGTTCCCGCGCCAAACCTCAGCTTTGTTTTAAACAAAGTGCGCGGATCAATTGAACAGTAGATTGGAGAGATGGAATTATTCTTTTTGAGATCAACTGAGGTCTTATTCCATCTCTTATTTTAACAACACCGCTCTAGTGTTATTTCTACAGTCGGTATTGTGGAGATTGGCTGCTGCAGGACTCGTGGATCTTATCTTTTTTACCAAATTTGAGGTGACTAGGATATTCACGGATGGGTTCTCTAAGAGAAAAGCCACCAAGCGTATAAGATGATCAATCATTGAAAGGTTTGTTCGAACCGAAAAGGGTACCCTTATAGTCCTTTCCTGCGGTCTTCGCATTAGATTCTGTGGGGCATAGAATTCAGAGATTATAGTTGTTATTACAAACCGGACGAAGCAAAAAATGAAAAAGTATCTTCAGCTATCATACCCCACCGATTGTGGACCTCATCTTGACATGTATGGTCCAGGGTCGGATCCTCCCAGCTCGTATCATAGCAGGTCTGATTTTCCCCACAACCGTATTGAGGAAAGCCAAGGCCTCCAGTCTCCCAGTTCCCATAGGGCGGGCTTTCATGACCTGCCAACCCTATATTATGATGGATTCTCCAATAATAACTCATTGTGAGAGGGTTTGACCTCCCAAACTCCTGCTAATTGAGCAGTGGTTAATTGGTTCCTGACACATTAACCACTGCGCCAGCTAGGTATCTCATATAACATTACCGTGAGAACAAATACTTATCCCGCTAGTAGGTATGTTTGTATATATATTTTCCCCGTGAGGTTCAGGATAGTTGCACTATTTTGTTAAGCATCGAGTGATTTTGAGAATAGATACATCGTTCCGAAAATGGTATTATAAATACCGACCACTAATTTCTAGTGGCAGGGCCCCCCTAGCATCCGGAGGAGTAATTATAGCAGGAAGATAAGTAGTGGAGAAGTGTAAGTTGGATTAGTTCCGAGCATGACAAGAGGAGGAGGGGGCCACGGATCGCAGACATATGGAAAAGCCGTCAGGCACTCATACACCGATAAGCGCGCAACCAAAAGTCGCCACTTCAGGGAATTGCGCCCGACTTCGAAGTTGGATGTCGGGTTGAAATCGTGAACTCACTGCTAGCCGACTGATTGTGAGCTCATCGAGTGACCCCCCATGACGTAATGAACATTAGAAAAATTGATTAACTTGCTATTTATTTTAAACGTCGACTACAGTCCTCAACCCCTGCGGCGCCCGCTCTTCTTGTGTGTCGGTCTCCAATTTACCCTTCAAAATAATATTATCGATAATCCTAACCGACCCCTCACCCTCCTGTGTTGGCAACATTCTGACAGCACCACTTATTACCGCACCGACATTAACGTCCACCTGCTCCAATTCCTCCAATTCCTTCGGACAGGAAACGCTAAAGTACTCAGTCTCAGTTTTAACCTCATCGCTCCCAGCCTCTCTAAGCATCTTCTCAGCAGATTCTGTGAGAACCCTTTTCGGAATGATCGTTGCTCCCTTCGCTACCTCTTGAAAGTATGCTCCCTCCGCAGCCCTAAGAGCCTTGTACAGGCACGTGGCAAAGCCCCGCCTCTTCTGACCAAGATATACATTTCTCGAGCTCATCGCAAGTCCGTCCTCCTCCCTGATTGTGTCCTCGACCTGGATCTTCGTAGGAACATGCAAGTCGCTAATCATCCACTTAAGTACGACGGTCTGCTGGACATCCTTCTGTCCAAAATACACTTCATCCGGCTGGATGATATTGAAAAGCTTCATGCAGACGGTTGCCACACCACGGAAAAAGTGTGGGCGCGTGATGCCCTCCAGACGACTAGACAGTGGTGTGACTGTCACGAATGCTCCCTTCTGTAGTTCCTGTTGCAGGGGTATGCCGGAAGGGTACATTTCCGGCACCGAGGGCACGAATAGCGCTTCGATCTTCCCCTTCGAGGAGGACTCCGGGGAGGACAGCTCTGTGTTCAGATCTTCCAGCTGCTTAATGTCTGCGGTTAGAGTGCGCGGGTACCGTGAGAGGTCCTCTTGCGGAGCAAATTGCGCGGGGTTAACGAATATGCTGACAACTAGGCTATCGTGGGACCGGGCTGCGGAGCGGATCAGGGAGATGTGCCCAGCGTGCAGGGCACCCATTGTTGGTATCATGGCTACACTGTTGAGCTGGTTCGCTTGCTCCCGGCGCCATTGTCGGATTGAGGCAATAGAGGTATAGAGTGTTAGGGGGGGCTTGGTCGCTGGTAGTGGGGTGGTCATTGCGGCGGTTATTTCTACACATGGGAATGGGTTAGAAGAACGGGGAATCTGGGATTATTTTTTTGGAGGGAAGATGGATGGATACCTGTGAGGGCACTTAGGGAAGCGAAGCGTCGAAGTAGTTGTATCATAATCAACTGGTTAGTCCATGATTGTCAGAGAATTGGCGTCTGGATCATGGCCTCCGTGGTTTGAGTGATCCTCATACATTTAGCGGGGAAGTCAATCTAGGGGCAATTTTCACCCCGGTTTCTCACAGAGAGTTTGCGCAGTGAGACCTAGGTGGTTTTAATATAAGTTAACAACAAGGCTTGGCCACCCGGTTCTTTAGTCCCACCTGGTCAAGGTGTAAAAACCCGAATATTGGCCCTGGAATTGAGGGCCACAAATGCCCACTTCCACCGCACTTTTATGCCTCCATTCGGGTATGATTTTGTGGCCATTCTTCTGAAGGACAACCCTGACAAGAGCAGTTCCGAGAATGTCAAGGATTGACTGAAAAACTGACTCCCGGGTGTGCCGAGGTATGATGATTATTAAGCATAATATGGTGCAGGATACGCAGTCAGCCAGAAACCAACACACACCTTTAAGAAGATATGGCTCAATAGAGGTAAATTTACTCAGAAGACAATCCTCTCCAGCTCTAACTTGCCAATTCTCAATAAGACCAATATTTCTGGGGATGCTAAGGTTCCGAATTATACTACCCATCTGTGCCGGTAATGTGAAAGCTGTTCATTTCATTCCTTGCCCTGCGCTTACAAATATCTGTCATCAGCCATCACTCTGGTGGGTCGGTGATAATTGATGACGACACATGAGCAGATCAGATGATAAGCTGGGATCCGATTAAGTCCGATTAGATAAACTCCTGTTTTTCCGGTCTTGGCAAAACGAACTCCTAACGTATCGGCAGAAACCTCCAATGGTCCGTGGGGTCAATATCAGCTGAACAATGAAGTGTGGAATAACATCTCGACTGAAACTTCTTTCGACCCATTTCCGCCCCCGGAAACCCTACCTGCACCCGTACAGCACCCGAACAAGTTGTCATAGAATTCACACAGCGACTCCAACACCAGAGACCCCCGGAAACGTGCCTTACTCAAACCCGCTAGCACGCTCCCTTGTCGAGGCGATAGAGGTCTGCTTATTATCATCACTCTCCCGGAACAGCCCTCGCATAGTGCTAATCGATTCATAGGCAACAGGTCCAATCACCCTCGCAGCGTACATGCGCCAATGTCTTGTCTCCGACCTTGGAGGGTACTACACGGCAGAGCGCCGGGTCGGGACCGGTGACCAATTCGGTCGGAAGGGGGATTTCATCACAAGCCCGGAGATCTCTCAGGTCTTTGGAGAGTTGATTGGGATATGGGTTGTTTCTGAATGGATGAGGCAAAGGCGTCCGGGTGAGAAGATTCAGATTATTGAACTGGGACCTGGGAGGGGGACGCTGATGAGCGACCTCTGGAGAGTATGTGTTCGGTCCTTAGACCACTATATAGTGATTGTGAGTAATTTGTGGCTGATGATGGAATTAGGCTGTGCTAAGTTTTAAAGCCATGGCTGATTCGGTTGAGACAATATACCTCGTCGAGGCTTCCCCTTCACTCCGCGAAGCTCAAAAGGTTCTCCTCTGCGGACCGGAAACCAAAATGAGACAGATCGAGAATGGGTTTGCCTGTCAGAGCAAAATGTCGCCGAAAACAGATATTATCTGGTATGAAGACTTCAATTGTATTCCTCGGGACAAGGATCGTACTCCCTATATAATTGCTCACGAGTTCTTCGATGCTCTCCCAATTCACGCTTTTACAAATACGGACAACGGTTGGCGGGAAATACTAGTAGATGCTTCTCCTAGAGAGGGCCACTTCGTAACTAAAGACGGGGTATCAAGATTGGAAACTAGAACTAATACTCCGGAATTCGCATTGACCCTGTCTAATGCCCCTACTCCCCACTCTATATTACTTCCGCAATTGTCCCAGAGGTATAAGGATCTTGCGAAATTGAAGAATGCGACAATAGAAATTTCACCCAACTCGTTAGGACTCATGGAGAAGATTTCACAAAAGATTGGGGAGGCTGGTGCGGGTGCTGCACTCATTATGGATTATGGGACCTCTGACACTGTACCTACTAATTCACTTCGTGGGATCTTGAAGCACGAGATTTGCTCACCGTTCTCCCGCCCAGGAGAGGTGGACGTTTCGGCGGATGTGGACTTTACCGCTTTGGCAGAACAAGCTATTAAGTCATCTCAAAAGGTGGAAGTGCACGGGCCGGTGAAGCAGGGTGCATTTCTGGCAATGTTGGGGATCAAAGAACGAACCGAATTCCTGATACGCGAACTTAAGAAACCGAACAACAGTTGGGATAGTCGAAACGAAGATAAAGAGAAGGCCCTAAGGTTAGGCCACGATAGACTCGTTGGGGAACATGCGGGAGGTATGGGCGCCGTATATAAGGCTCTTGCAGTAGTCCCTGTGAGGAAAGGGGGAAGACCAGTTGGGTTTGGGGGTGAGGTAACTGGGAACACGGACTAATGTAAGATAAATTGCAACTTGCAAGGAAGCGCATATGTAAATGTATTCTAAAGGGTATGGGTATCTTAAGCTGGTATCACACTAGATAATACATTAAAATCCTGTCACCCCTCTCGAGGTGCCATTATTTAATTCAGGCGACAACTTCTCAAGGATGTTCTCCGGGTCAGTAAGCGCGATTTTCACATATCTGGACAGACCCATAATTAGTAAATAGCCAGAGAAGAGACATGGAGTACACAAACTTAGTGTGGCTCCCTCTAGCTACCAACTGGTCGTCCTTGTTGCGGAATAACACCGTGGTATATGCAAGCGTTTTTCCAACTTCGCTCGTTAGCTGCTTTACCTCTAGAACCACCAAAGTCACCTTAGAGCTTACACTTATCACAAGTAGCCTCGCCTCGAATTATATGCCCCACTTTACCTCCAGAATTTAGGTATGTTACTGCAGAGTGTCATTAATGCCTCGAGGTGTAGTGATGGGTAAAAACAAACCATTGAGGTCTGTGGATAGCCCCGTGGAGAATAACCCTTTGGAGGCCACGGCCAACGAGCCACCTAGATCAACTGCCTAAATGTTAGCAAGATGAATATATTCACGCTTGTTTGGTTACCCATTGAAGCAATTGTGCCGCCGTGAAGTGTGCCCAATCTATTCTACTTATAGTTAGTTTTAATTAAAAATAATAGAGCAAAGTGGGCAGTCATACTGTGTGCATCTTCTCAATCAAAAGCTCAAAGTTAACCTTTCCAGGCTCGACGTTTAAAAGCTTTAGCTACAATCGCACTATTACCTTAACACAATGGCCCCAGAGGCCCAGAATAGGAGTTCACAAACAGTCGATAGTAACCTAAAGTTGTATTAGCGAAAGCTAAATTAATTCACGATAGGAGAACCATAAGTACGTTGGTTCGAGCCCACTTTTGGCAAGGAAGGAGCTCCAGACCTGAAATCTATATCAGCCATATAGAGAAGGGAAAAGCGGGGTCTGAACAAACTCACGGAATTTACAAAGCTCAATGCCACTCTTTTGGACATTTTGTTTGTTGTTTCTGGTGGGGCAGGATTGCGGCGAGCAATCTTCGGCTACCAGTATCAAATTCTCTTGATACTGTGTGTAAAGTTTAACCCGGAATGTTGCGGCTCAAGTTGTTTCTCCCGGCCAAAATAGCCGGGTAACCTAGCCCACTCCATAGAGCTTCTTCCAACTCCCCCCACAAACACCGCCATCTACAAAAATCTCTCCTGAACACCCTTTTCCCGGCAATGGCTCTCTTAGAAATAGCTAAAAAGAGCCTGCTTACTGCTGAGAAATATTCTGCCCTCAATTCCCTCATTTCGGTACAATCTCAGCTAGGGCTTTTCAGTCAGATTCAAGCGTCCCAAGAGCGCATCCATGCAGGTAATTTGCCATACTTCCTCTTAACGACTGCGCTTTGCCAACCTTCAGATACAGGAGAGAGTAAATCTCCTATCGATGGGCATTTAATCGCGGTCAAAGACAACATTTGCACAATAGACTTTCCGACAACATGCGCTTCAAAACTGTTGGAGCGTAAGTTAATGGTTCTCGACGTATCCTAAACTCGAAAAACTGGCTGAAGTAGATGATAGAATACACTTCCCCATTCGACGCAACAATAGTACGTAAGGTCAAGGATGCCGGTGCTGTGATAATGGGGAAAACAAACATGGACGAATTCGGTATGGGGTAAGCCCCCGGCTCTTTATATCAAACTAGACTCTAACCCTTGAGTGGCATAGGTCGCATTCCATGTATTCCCACTTCGGACCCGTGATGCAGTCTGCCAATGATGGCCAGCCAGCCAGATCTGCTGGTGGAAGTTCTGGGGGCAGCGCTGTTGCTGTTGCTACAGGAATGTGCTATGCGTAGGTCAAGTCTCGAATGCTGTTGGGGTGTAACGCTAAGTTTCACGCCGGTAGAGCTCTGGGAACCGACACTGGTGGCTCAGTTCGCCTCCCAGCCGCTTATTGTGGAGTTGTTGGATTCAAACCTTCGTATGGAATGTTGTCCAGGTGGGGGGTGGTTGCTTATGCAAACTCATTGGACACAGTCGGAATACTTGGGCGAAATATCTCAAGCGTCCAAAAGCTATATGGTATCTTACGGTTTTCGCACCTTCCACCTCACAGGGCTCATGTTTACAGATACAATTAATGGCCACGATGACGATGACCCAACCAGCATAACGCCGCAAGCAAGAGAACGAATTCAGGACCGGTTATCACGCAGCCGAAGAAAGGGCCGGAGGCTAGTTATCGGATATCCCGAGGTATGCCCCTCCCTATCCAGTATTCGAACAAGGCTCAATACCTCACAGGAGTTCAATCTTGTAGAATTGGACGACTCTGTGCGTAATGCGTGGGAAAACACACTATCGCACCTGAGCCTACAGTCCCATCGAATTGTCGCTGTATCCCTGCCTCACACTAAGCACGCTCTATCGGCATACTATGTCCTGGCTCCCGCCGAAGCCTCTTCAAATCTCGCCAAATACGATGGAGTCCGCTACGGCTACCGGGACCCCGACGACCGCTCAGAAGACGGTCTTCTCTTTTCACCCACTCGTGCAAACTTTGGCGCAGAAGTCCGTCGACGAATAATTGCCGGCGCGTACTCACTCTCCTCCGAAGCCATCAACAACTACTTCCTCAAGGCGCAGTCAGCCCGCCGGGTCATACAACATGACTTCAGTAATGCATTCGCTCAACCAAATTACCTTGTCACGGATAATCCAGAGGAAGGCCGCGGGGGGGGAGAAGGTGTGGATGTGCTTATCGCCCCAACCTCTCTTTCTAAGGCACCATTTCTAGAAGATGTCAAGATGCAAAAGTCACCACTAGACTCATACGTTAATGATGTATTAACAGTTCCTGCAAGCCTCGCTGGTATTCCGGCGATCTGCCTGCCTGTTGTGCATGGAGAGAAGGGTTCTGTGGGAATGCAAGTTATGGCACAGTACGGAGATGAAGAGATGATGTGGGAAGTAGCAAAAATCATAGAGGATGGGTTAGGGTCCAAATTAGAGTAAGCTTCAAATCCAGCCCATTAACCTGACTGTAAATAAAAATAAACTACAAAATGTAGATGCAAACAAATGTGGGTCTATGATACTCCACCCTTCATATTAATAGCGGCGCGTGTATACTGGTATTCGCATTTCCCAATGACAGATTAAGGGCGGATATGGCCAAAACTTGGGTTCCGAGAACTATGGGGCTGTTTGGAACAATGGCAAACTGACCAATGGGAGGTCCTAAAACCAATAGCATATCCAAGCCTTATTATTAGTTTGCCACAAACCACCGTTTGCCGTGCCAAACAGCCCCTAATAATTCCCATGATTAACGCAAGCTGAAGAAAAGAAATCAAAATAGCTACTGTACTCGTAGACCGCCCCTCCCCATAATAGACACGACCTCTCGACGAACCCTTACAAGCCTATGGCTGACGAATCACGTAGAGTCACTCGGAAAACTAGAGAAGAAGAGTATCCAAAACTATCTTCCAATAGGCCTACATCCCACGCGATATTATCGTTAGAGGTAATTTCCCTAGAAGTGGTGTTTCCCCTTCATCCCATGCTTCCCCTCCCCATCCCTCCTCCGCTATCGTCAATCTCCTACCGCGGTAATGAACAAATCCTAGTATTTGTATTATGATACCCGGCACAGTGTGAACACGATACCGAACCTCACTTATCCACGCCCCGGCACGAGCACTACTACTACCGACCAAGTTACAGGGTTACCAGCTCATGCATATTCTCTCTCTCCCTCTCTCCCTCATACAGGTTATAAGGAGGAAAAATGGGTGTGATACAGGGATAGGTCGATCATGAAATTCATGGTACGGACGGGTACGCTAATCCCGCTGCGCAAGCGCGGCACGGCGCCACGGGCCTCCGACCCCTCCGACCTCCCATCCCCTTGTATCATACTAGTACTCGTACAAGCACCGTGAATTTGTCATCATCTACCAGGTACCCTGCACTGTACTCCACTCTACAGTACTCTGGTATCTGGTAGAAAGGGTCCGGAAACAAAAAAAAAAAAAAGAAAGAAAAAAGACCCCCCCCCTGCAAGACCCTGTAGGGCAATTAGCGGGTAGGCTGGAAAAAAAAACAGTCCGAAGTGGATACCAGGCATGTTCTCTTATAGTGCTAATAGCGAGATATCCTAAGGTAAGGATTAAATTTTTTATCTATTTATTGCCTTTGTAGGAACCGACGAGATCAGTCCTGGCTTTGAAATTCTATATATACAACCTTTGTTTTTTGTTTTTTTGTTTTCCTTCCATGCATGCATCCAGGCTACCGATGGATTCAATCAATACCGGTACTTTAGTTCCTGTAGAGTTTCCGCGCTTCTTCTACGGGTATGACACCATACCCGAGTTCAAGCACAACACTCGTACTACTAAGGATAATGTGGTTGGCTACAAGTACCGGTACCGGATCCCCAAAGAATGAAGAAAGAAAGAAAGAAAAAAGAAAAAAAGGTTGTCGATCATTGAGTACGGTACAGGTGCTCGAGTACCGGTACCGGTGTGGGTTTGTGTGGGCCACAGGTTACCGCACGTGTGTTAGGAGACAAATCCGATACTTTTATATCGCACTAAAAGACAACTGGGGCTAGGGTTGATAGGAGACTTAATGCAGCATTAGTGCTTGTACTCAAGGGAGGGGCTTAACCTATGCTCACCGCCCACTGCATTTTACACATCCTGCCGCCCAGGATGGGGGAAGGCATGGATGGACTGAGATGAGATCCCACGTTTGTCTCGCCAGCTGTACGATATATAGTCTAGAACTAAGACTTTGATACAAACACCGACTCAGTAACGCACAACGGTATCCTCTCACAAATGAGGAAACCAAGGTCCGAACAGCAGCCCGAGGAACCCACAGGAAGCACAAGGAAGAAACGTAGCCCTGGATATGTACTCGTCCGTACCAATAACACATTACGATCAGCATATCGTTCCCGATTCCAGAACTTGGAGCACCAAGGGTATCGGTATCATGCAGGAAGAAAAAAAGGTTACATCTTCCCACCCGCGGTGAAAGAGCTCAGTGATCTGTGGACCACTGTGAGGAGAGAGCAGATTGCTGGATACACGTACCGTACAGGACCGTACCGGTACTGTACACTGATATGTACTTGTATTGTCGGTTTTATCTGCAATGATTCTCATGCCTTATAGCTCCCCTAAGTGCCGTTCCAGCAAGCCTTACCCCCCTTATCCTAGAAATTCAACACATCAGTCTGGTCAACCACGGCTGAGAATTCCCTGTCACTGCCTACCTACAGTTCCCAAAATATTGCCACCAACCACCGGCAAAAAAGTTTCCGAGCGTCCCCAAGCTACAGTACAGTACATCCTGCTCTAGGGACACTGGATTTCTGCGAGAGGGAGGGGTAGGAAGTCTGAGGACGGGCCCCTCCGCTCTTCAAGCACAAGGCTATCCCCTGGACTGCGGGAACCTTAAAAATATCTTGCCACTCCTGTCGTCGCTAGTAAGCAACGACAGTTTTCCAACACTAAAACTTTGTAGATGCGCACGCTTCAGAACGCGCATAACCAGAAGTAAATTTATACCGAGAACAAACGAGAACTACCGGCAAAGCACGCACTGTCTTGGGCGATGGGAGGGATAAAGATCCGGCACCTTCCTCTTTGCGCCCTCCTCCACACCGGCTCACTCTGAGGGCATGTGATCCTCCCGAAGAATTGGACCGCCTGCGATCATGACTTGAAAGCACGATTTGGGTGACCCTATCAAAAATGTATTGCACATGCTTTGAAATCATTCGGTGCCAAACAGCCCAGGATACTGATTGCAGTTTGGTTTCCTTATCTCGATAATCATAGGTTTAAACTTTGGAAGATCATCTTGCACTTTAACCCGATCTGCACCCAGTACGAGTGCCGGTACTGTACGAGTACTGTACTCGAGTACCGATACTCGCACAGCGCATCTATAATATTATTAAGCTGGATAATTTTACTTACCGTATTGCAGAACCAACACACCGGTACTTGTATTCCCTACTGTCCAATCTCAGATCCGGAAGGCTGAAACAAACCCTTTCAAATCACACTGTCAGCTTCAATCATGATCCGAGGTCGGCACGCAATGCACCCCCGATCCGGGACAAAACCTCGCTTTCAAAGCATGACCCGGGACCGCGGCGCCCCAAACGGGCCCACAATTATTATCCTTAGGGAGAATCGCACCTGGGGGGAAACCTGTGAAGGCCAGTCTGCGAGACAGAAATGCTATTCAGATACGGAAGCAAAGATCGAGCACGACAAGGATAAAAGTAAGAATCCAGGGGAATGCACAGATGAGGGATCAGAAGAAAAGGGGGGCTATATGAAGAAGTTGCCTACAGGTGATTTCTTAATGTGATCACAGAGGCTGGGGGGATTACGGAGGCCAGCAGTCACTACTCTTAGAGCCTGTTTGGATACGACCGTTCCGTTCCTTTGCACCATACCAGTGACCGCTACCCTTCCGTTACGCAGTTCCGAACGGTGTCGTGTTTGGAACACATGGACTTTCACCAAAGCAACGAACGGTCGACTACCAATCCAAACGAGTTCCATAAGTACAAACCCCGCGAAGCGGGAGACTTCCCCGGGTCGAATGGTCACAGAACGGAACCTTTGTTTTTCCTTCCGTTCCTTCCGAACAGGCTCTTAGGAGATAAGAATAAATGCATTCAATATGCCGGTACTACCAACTGCCGGTATTACTTAAACAAACAGGAGGTCGTATCATACATCCCACTGCCGGATTGCTACCGGAGCGCACACACCGTCAACATCATGTTGCGCCTGCCAAACTCCAGTCCGGGTTCCTCTAGGCCCAGATATGGCGATCTTCTACTTTATTCTGACCAGCCCAATTACTCCTACTTCCCCACAACAGCAGGGTTCCCCGCGGACCCGATTTTCACTTCCATATCCGAGCATGGCACCGTTATGCTACGGCACCAAATTCTACTCACGAACCTGGTAGGAAAAAACAAAAACAAAACAGTCGGACGGACAAAACAAACTGGAGTACCGGTACCTCAAGCAATGATGAGAAGTTCACTGCAGCCACATTTTCCAAGAGGGATAAATACGTTAGGGCAAGGAGTCCTCGGCCGAGGTACAGTATAGTACTTCTAGGATCTCGGCCAGAGGGCCGGAGAAGGTATGACAATACCCGTAAGCGAGAGTGGACATCGAGGACCAATCACCAACGACAATACCGGTATCTCTCTCTACCGGTACGCATTCTACTCGAGTACATGATCACGGCAGGAACACCAGTAGTAAAAAAAAAAAAAAACTTTGCTGGACAGAGCCCAGGAGCCGGTCACTAGCCATCATGCTCCAAACTGCCCTCCCGCAGCTTGCAGCGATAATAAGGATATAATCCCTCTCGAGCAGGACATTGCGCCCAACTTCGATATCGGGAGTTGAGAGCTGCTTATGCCATTGTTCGCTGATTACATTATATTACGGGAGCAGATATAATACGGTGCTCGTACATCCTCGTGTGAAAGGGGGATTATAAATATCAATTGCTAATGGTTGACTAAACTCCCCACCCCACCCCACCCCACCACCCCCTGCTCTTTTTTTTTTTCTACACTCTGAAGAAATAATTGGAAGGAATATCAACGATGAAAAAGAGAGAAGAGAAGGAAAAATGAAAAAGGTGGTTCTGGATGATAGTAAGACGGACTTGCATAGGCACCCGTACTCGTACATTCATAGGCTGTATAGTAACCTGGAGGTATGATATTGCAATATGTCTGACCTATGATAGCTCCCCTTTCGGAACATTATGCCCAATTTTTGGGTGAGCGTCACGGGTTCTCTTTATTTTTTTCCATGATACCGCAAATTCGTTCCATTCCTATGAGGAATCGTCATGGTTATAGCGAGTGACTATGGGTGATCCACTCCTCCGATGAAGCGCACACAGTGCGAGGATACCAAAAAGTCACGTAATCATTATAGCTAAGACTTGACATCAGAATATTACTGTTGCTATCATACTAGTACTAGTAACAATGACGACATAAGGTAAACACTAAAAAATTCTTCAAATCCCCCCCCCCCCTCCTCTCCTCCCACTCCTTCCCCAAGCGAAATTCCTAGATATCACGCGTCCGTATCTTCTCCACACGAGCCGTCGATTTGCGAGCCCGCTCCCCACCCTCAGACGGATAGAGATCATCCAGCATCAGCATAACCTTGCTCAGCATTGGATAATCCCAGAACGTGTAACCTCTGTCATCCTTGGCATTGATATCGGCGCCTGCACCCTGCAACGCCCCCACAATTCCCACGCCAATCTGAACCGCCAAGAACAACGGCGTTTCCCCAAACATGTTGCGAACCTCAGTGCTCGCTCCGCCTTCTAGGAGTATCTTCACCATCTCTAGGTCATCGCTACCAACAGCTCTATGAAGGGCTGTGTGACCTCGCCCGAATGTCGAGCACAGCAAGCTGGGGTCTTCGAATTCTTTTTCGTCTGGATTCGCAGAGTATTGGAGGAGAAGCTTGGCCGCAGCAGAGTTTCGGTTTATGACGGCTAGGTGGAGCGGCGTTTGCCCGTTCAATGTCACGCACGACGGGTCGGCTTGGTAGGAGAGGAGTTGCTTTAGTAGTGCTAGACGGTTGGTAGCCACGGCGTAGGAGACTCCATCGCCGTACAGATATCTGTGTTCATTTGGGTGGCGGAGGATGAGGTCTACGCCTAGGTGCAGCGCTAGGTCGGTTTTCTTCTCGGCGGGGGTAGAACTCGGAATTGGACTGTCGGTGTCTTCGTCAAATATTGTCAAGTCGGGGTTTTGTTTGAAAATCAGGGAGACGAGAGTACGGTTTCCGGCCGCGGCGGAGGAGTAAAGTGCTGCCTTCTCGTACCCGGGCTCGCAGGCGAGGCGGTAGAGAGAGTTTGTCAGGATCCTGTGAAAGGAACTACAGGTGCGCAGGAGGGAGTTTAGGTCGGTGGGGTGAAGGTAGCCAGATATCAGGAGGATCAGCTCAGTCGGGACCGTCGAGAGAGACATCGTGGACTCGATTGGGGATAACGAATTGGAGCGAACTGGATTGAACTTGAACTGTAGATGGAAAATAAAAGAAATCGAGAGTGATGGCTGTTGTTACGACGACCCCGACCCCGCTGGGTGAATCGGAGCCGGGAATAAAATGCCCCCACGTATACGTCCGTCCAAGGATGTCGAACAGTTATAGAAGCCGCATGAGGAAAGGTGGATGTAAATGGAGCTAGTGCCGGTACATTGGAATTGAAACGGGGGTTGAGCAGCCTACTCGACTACAAGTACAGGCACAAGATATCAACTGAGAGGATTGGTGTCGCGAGATACCGGTGCCGGCAGTGTGTGTGTACGAGCACTGGGTGCAGAACCGGCGATAATACAAGTACCGGTACTTCGTTCCCTAACAATTTGCCGTAGTTGTAACTCCGAGAATGCGGAGTGCCCCCATCCAAGCCTTGTGAACTGGGGACCCTCTCTACATCCCTGATCACGTGGTCATGAGTTGGTGAATTCTGCCCCCCCCCCCTTCCCCCACGGCATGACACGATTCCTGCATAGTAAGAGGGATTTCGGAGGGAGTATCACACTTGGCTCAATTCTGGCTTGTTGGCGATAGCAACCCGTCATAGGTCATGATCCAGGTCTCGTTTAAGAGATAACATATCGTACTCGTACGCTTAGGGTCTAGTCATGCCAAGCTTAGGTAGAGTTTACGAATTTCCCAACAGTCCACAACAAACCGTCAACCGTTTTTTTGTCACCACCAACCCCAATAATGAGAATGACAAAAAAGGTACCGGTAGGTACGTCGACCGATTTGACCACCACCGCCTTGTCCAAGCGGAGGTTCTAGCATCCCGAAACCTGCAGCTATCGTATGTTTACCATATGTATGCATGATACGGTGCTAAGCTCTTCTGCTGTCTAACCTTAACCCAGAACCCCGAAATCCCACTTTTGCCGGTACTGGTATGATATCGATACCATGGCTACGGCCGATAGATATATTAGTCATGTGATCCTATCCTGATAGGCAAAATTTGGTGAACATTCCCGGTGCAGCTTTCTGAGATAAGGCATGGTACCGGTAGACTATCGATACTACCGGTAGACTATGGCTACGGCCGATAGATGCAGTAATCACGTGGTTCGGATAAGCAAAATTTGGTGAATATTCCTGAGGATTGTCTGGATCGTGATGTATCGTACAGTACTGCACTGGTATCCCGCCCAGCCACCGAAAGGGAGGGGGGGTTCCGGGGAAGCAGAAGGGAAAGAAAAAAAAGCCCCGGATGAGGAGAAGAAGTACCGTTCACACTATCAATCCGGTTTTTACATTGAACACGAAGGAAGTTCATCATGGGTAGAAAAGCGAAGTTCGTGGTGTTGAGCTGATCCGTGGCTGCATTCGGTTTTCCTCGGCTATCCTCTGCTCACGAGGGCTCTGTCCGTGTCTCCTGTCACTTCCATGTGATCCCCAGATTTTCCCACCGCCCCATATCCTCCGACGTCACTACCCTTAAAAACCGACCCGCTCCTTGCATCTCCTAATCCCCCTCCCCCCCTCTGAATATCTTCACACCTCGGTGGAAAAAGACCAAAGATGCTCCGTTCCACAATATCGAGATCCCTCTGCCAGCCGCTCTGTAGGCAATTCACCGTTTCGGCTGCGGTGGGCGAGCACAGTGTAAATAGGTTAGGGGTTGTTGGTGCCGGACAGATGGTAGGTCGGATATTTCAATGTGGTATGCCTAAAAGGGGAGGGGGGGGGTGAAAAACCGTTAACTTTGGGGGTTCTAGGGACTCGGAATTGCTCTCGTAGCAGCTCAGGACGCTCGAGTTCCGGTAACATTAGTGGATAACTCGCAGGAATCCATCAATAAGGCTATAACGTTCATGGGTTAGTCGTTATATTGCTGGTAGTGTTTCGTTTGTTAAGGCTGACACTGGTGACAGAAACCTTGCTACAGAAGAGTGTTGACAAGGGCCGTTTGGCCAGTGATGATGCACAAAAGATCAAGGATCGCGTCTCCACGTCTACGCAGCTCTCATCTCTCTCAGAGCATGATTTTGTTATCGAAGCTGTACCTGTGCGAGCATCTCCCTAACCCACATGTGTGACTTGAATTAACACAAGATAGGAAATACCCTCACTGAAAACAAAAATATTCTCGGATCTAGCAGAGATTGCACCTTCAAACGCAATCCTCGCGACAAACACCTCAAGTATCAGCATAACCAAAATCGCAGCAGCAGCAAAGGGGGCCGAGCACCGGGTCTTAAGCACACACTTCATGAACCCGGTACCTATACAGAAAGGTGTTGAAATCATCACCGGTTTACAAACCTCTCCAGAAACCCTCACTCGTGCCCTCAGCTTTGTGAAGTCTATGGGGAAGATCCCAAGCACGAGCAAAGACTCTCCGGGATTCCTGGCGAACCGTATACTGATGCCGTATATCAATGAGGCTGTGATTTGCCTCGAGACGGGGATAGGCGGAAGAGAGGACATTGACAATATCATGAAGAATGGGACAAATGTCCCCATGGGGCCGCTGCAGTTGGCCGACTTTATCGGGCTAGACACTTGTCTAGCCATCATGAAAGTCTTGCACGAGGATACGGCTGATTCAAAGTACCGTCCCGCGGTGCTGCTGCAGAAGATGGTTGATGCGGGGTGGTTAGGGAAGAAAACCGGGAAGGGCTTTTACGACTACACATGAAATGCGGCACTAAGTAGTTGCTAAGCTTCTCCCGTTGGTAATAATGATCAGCTGCATATCAGCGAGACGTGCTATCCTAACCCCCGGTGCAAATAATCGGCATACGGCGCACTTCCGCACCACCCCGATGTGATGCTCGAACGACCGTGCATGGGACAAGTGGCGCCTGGGAGCCCACAGACGGCATCACGCCGGTAAGGGTGAGGTAGGCCCACCGAATACCTTGACCAGCATTCCTTATCACAATCCTTAGGTTTTCCATACATATTGCTCTTGGCTGTGCTCGAGTACGAGGCCGAGTACGAGTACGGTACAGTACACTACAGTACCTCATTGCTTCTACCGGTATTATATTTAAACCCTAGATACCGAACAGTAAAGGCTGTATCGATGGCGTTGTTTAGAGATGCTGTGGGATTCCTATCGGTGTTTTCCCCACCGTAGCGTGTATACTTGTACCAGTAACCACCCTCAGGCTACGAATAATTCACTATCATATTACGTAGAAATTCGGATCGCTTCCGGGTACCCATACAGTACCATAAACCCCCCATTCCCCAACAAGTTAGGCGGTCAAGATCACAACCATTAAAGTTTCAACCCTACTGTACTCGAGTACTTGTAACTCTGGCCTGATGATCGATCCCAAAGCGATCATACAGTCTGCCACCCTACTCCTCTCGTCCGTTCTCCAGGGCATTTCGAGCGCTGCTACGGGTCCAACCGATACGATCGCATCATGGGCAAAGCACGTGACCTCTGTGTGACTCCTATCGCAGCGGGCGAGTATGTCCCCCCCCATAAGAACCTCGACATACACCCCCCCAGCTTTCTTTTCCTTTTCCCTTTTCCTTCTCTCCCTCCCTCCCTACGAGTACAAGTACCTGTACCGTACTTTGATAAATCTGCGGCACTTGAAAAGTTGTACAAATACTTATAACCCCCCCCTTTTCCCCCTTTAATCCTTGGCAAGTGAACAACAAACGATTACTGTACCGGTACCCATACAAACACACCGCTCACCACACCGCCCACCACACAGTCCCTTCTTTACATTGCGAGTGGAAACAAGTTTTTACCCCTCTTTTCATTTCCTTTCGTCCGAGTCCCGTCGTGAGAGTAAATCCGAAATTACTCGAACCCGGTTACGATCATCATTCAAAATATACCTCACACGATCCTCCATGCCATTTTCCGGAACCCCGCTTCTTGTAATTGGCAAAGATGACCAGCGAAATGAACAATGTGGAAGTGGAACCTCTCGGAGTTCTTCAAGTACTTTTTCTTTTCTTCCACCCCGACCTCGAATCCTCCACAAAGTGCTGATTGTGATTGTCAATAGTCCGAATTCCCCACCCTCGACTCCGCCCTAATCGCAGCAATACTTAACGATACCAACGACCTGAACGACGCTCGCCAAACGCTCGGTATACTGAGGTCGCAGACCATCCTTGATGATGGCGCGCTTCCAGGCCTCGACTCCTGTCCCGAACTCTGCGAGGGGTCGTCAGAAACCGACCTGACCTGGCAGACGGAGGAGAACGATGGCGAGAACCCACCGGACAAGATTGACGCCTTACAGAAGATGTTTCCGGAATTGGGCACGTACACGCTCAGGCGAGTGCTCGGCGGCGTGCAGGGCGACGTAGATCGCGCAATAGACGAGCTCTTGAATCGCGCCTTTTTGGACGGTGACGAGGAGGGGGGAAAGATGAAAGGGGTCGATGCGTTTGATGGGGAGCTGGTATGGAATTGGGGCGGCAAGAAGGGGAAACGGAAAGGACAGAGTGGGAACGGGAAGGGGGGAGGAGGGAGGGCAAGTTCAGCATCCGATGAGAATTTGCAGAGCGACAACACCTCAGAGTCCCGTTGGGTAGTGATGTCTCGGGAAGTAGATTATCTGGCGGGTTGCTTAGGTCTGGAACGGGGGAAGGTGCAGTCTGTTTACCACTGCCATAACGGGTCGATGGGTCATACGATTGCCGCTCTGTTGAACGAGTGCGATGGTGGTGACTCACAGGACCCAACACATCTCGACGAACTCCACGCTTTAGCGGGGAAATTTGGGGCAACTGTGAAAACAGATCACCTAGCCAAGCTCTTGCTGCTCTGTGGGGAGAATAAAACTGCCCTATTCCAACTCGCCGAGATTCTTTCCTGCAACCCTCCTTCTAAACAACACCTCCTCGGAGCATCCTCTCCAACCTCCCCCTCTCGCCCATGGACAGCAGCTTGCCAAACAACACCAACAGTCAACACCAATTGGACAGTAATCGGCACCGTCCCTTGGCCCCCCACCTCACCCTCAATCTACGCATCAACCTACACGAGCGCACGCAACGAAGCCTTCGCCAAAGCTAGCGCCGCACACCGAAAGTCCAAATCCGATCGCTTGATGTCCGGGGCGGCAGCCGTCTACAGTGAACAGGGACATGAATACAGCAACAGAGCGCGAGAATACAGTGACATCGCCGCTGAGACGCTAGTAGACCAGAATTCTAGCGGGGATACGCTAGATTTACATGGCATCACGGTGAAGCAAGCGGTGAAGATTTCGCGGGAACGCACGACTCAGTGGTGGGTCAGGGAGAGCAACAACAGGGAATTGAGACGGGGAGGGGTAAAGGCGCTGTGTATTGTTACGGGGTGTGGAAGACACTCGAAGGACGGGAAACCAAGACTTCTACCGGCGGTCAGTAAGATGTTGATTCGTGAGGGGTGGGATATCCAGGTCCAGGGGGGGCAGGTTCTGGTTTGGGGGGCTAAAGCGCGGGCGGGGAGGTAGAATGCCAACCATCATAATACTATATCAGCTATATATTCTTTGTATTGCGGATGGGGAGAATTGGGGAGGGAGATTGGAAAGTTTCAATTGGTTGACGGATTGGAGTGGACTCAGGTTGATACTGCAATTTTGGATTGTGTTTTGTGTCATGGCCTATGGCTGGGTATTACGATAAGAGCGCTCGGGTACTTGCACATATAAACTCTTGTTAGATTTATGTACAGTACCAGTATAGTATGGTACTATTCTAGAATTGGCTAGGTTTGTGAACCGGGTGATGCCGTATCACGGATGGTTAGTTATTGGTCTAGGTAACGTTCCTGAAGGGACAAACAAGTGCCCCACACGGATTCACCAAAATTCCCGAAATTCTGCACGGGGCACTCGATATCCCCCACACTTGCCCCTCTAAGCATGCCATCCCCGAATCACATTTCCACCACGGAAGATTGCGCACATCATGTCACTGACGATTCGGTGCCACCTTGCCATATCAAGATCTAATCGCATACCGGCACTCCCCATCACGCTAACCCATCGCATGACTCACACCACCACAAGCACGAGCACAACCACGACCCGCCAGTCCGGAACTGAAGCTGCCCCACCATCACCCCCCACTGCCACTGCCGGAGACCAGCGCTCCAACAACCATTACCACAACACCCCTCCCCGTCTCTCACCAGCCGGAGCCAAAATGGCAAACTCAAAGTACCCCACACACCCCTCTCTCCCTCCCTCCCTCCCTCCCTCCTACAGCCATAGCCCAGCTAACCACCTCCGGCCAGATACGAGTACACCCGCGCCTTCGAAAACCCGCGCTACCTCCTACCAAACACCTACGTAATCCTCCGCCTGGACGGCCGTTCCTTCACCAACTTCAGCGCGAGTCAGAAGTTCCAAAAACCCAACGACTCGCGCGCCCTCGACCTCATGAATGCGAGCGCGGCCGCGACCCTGAAAGCCATTCCCGAGATCCTGATAGCCTACGGCGCATCCGACGAGTTCTCCTTCCTGCTCTCGCGCGAGTGTGCGCTGTTCAATAGGCGCGAGGACAAGCTGGTGAGCACGGTCGTGTCGACGTTCACGGCGTGGTACGTCTTTCTCTGGTCGCGCCACTTCACCGAGGAGGGGGAGGAATTGCAGACACCACCCAGCTTCGATTGTCGTGCAGTCTGTTATCCGAGTGTCGGGAACATCAGGGATTATTTTGCCTGGAGGCAGGTGGATGTTCATATCAATAATTTGTATAACACCGCGTTTTGGGCCCTTGTGATTAAGGGTGGGGTTGCTGGGAAGGAGGCGGAGGTTGAGTTACGGGTACGCTACCCCCCCCCCCTCCCCTCAGACGAGCGGCGGTGGTGCTGGAATGGCGGTAAATAATAGGAAGGGTAATCACTAGGGAACACTTGCAGCGGACAAGAACGAATTGCTGTTCTCGCGCTTCGGGATTAATTACAATAATGAGCCAGTGATGTACAGAAAGGGTAGCGTGGTGTACAGAGACTATCGGACCCCAGAGGATGAGGACGCAGAAGGAGCAGAGCCCAGCGCCTCCGTTAAACCGCCAAAACAGCGCAAGCAGAAAGAGGGTGAGCGGGGAACCACAGCAATCCAAGAACGTAAGTTAAAAACACCTAGGGAGGAGGTAGGAAGGCGTGCGGGAAAGGCAAGGATAGTAACGGAGCACGTGGACATAATCGGCGACGCGTTCTGGGAGAAACGACCTTGGCTGCTGGGGAGTGGGAATTGATGGATGGATGGATGGATAGATGCAGATAGACAACTCACATGGACCACAGCGATCACGGACCACTGTAAGTAAGCTTGAGACTGATGGGACAATAGAGATTTGGAAACAGGACGAGTGATATAGTGTGATGGGGAATCACGTCATGTGCAGTACGTGACGCTAGGGAACCTACAAAGACCACTTCCGACATATTGTTACAGCACAACATTATTTGAAACATGGTAATTACTACAATGGCTCCCTGGCCCCCCCTCCCAATCATCCTCTTCGTAAGGCCGACCGTCAAGACATTTGATCTAATTCTGGCATGTGGGAAGCAGAAAAAAGAAAGAAAAAGATGACGGAAATGAGAAGATGAGCAAGGGGAAGAAAGAAAAAAATTGACAGAAGGTAAGTGATGAAAATGTAGGGGAAAGAAAAAAAAAAGAGTCCTTGGATGTAGCAAGAAAGGGAGAGAAGCAAGAAAGAACCCAAACCTGGCTTTTTTTTTTACCGACACCACAGACAAACGAACAAAGGCATTAAATCCAACACACATCCATTGCACAACATCAGACGCTGGAAAGATACTAATTGTTGCCATTTTTTACTCCCAGAGCTGCTGCCGTCGCCTCACTGGCACGGGATCTAGCTTCCGCCTCCATTATCACACCCTTGATGACGTTCCTGTCATCGTCGCTCAGGGATTTAGTGAGGCCTTCGTAGAGGTGAGGTTGCGTATTTTGAAGATCTAATTAGGCGATTAGCAATCAATCACAACCAGCAGCGCATATAGGAACCCACCCATCAAGGCACTACGGAAGAGCATATAAGGCTCAATGTGGTCAAGAGGAGTCTCCAACAATGTTTCCTCCTCGAGATCGTCATCATCATCAGCCCATGCCGTAGCAAGGCCTGAACCTCCACGGGCCTGTGCCTCGCTGTTTAGGAAGTCCATATATGCACTGCTCTCATCGGGGACATCCGCCTCGTCGCCTTCATCTGCATCGGCACTCCAGACAGCCTCGCCTTCCCATTCTGTGTCGCTCTCCGTGTCATATGTATCGTCAATGGTCAGTCCCTCCTTCTGAATTTCTTCGCGGTCTAGGCCAGGTTAGCTTGTGCAATTTCCTAGTATTACGGATAGGGCTTACTCTTCATTGCAATGGGTAGGGTCTGGAACAGCTGAACAATCCCTTGCATAAGCTTGGGCCATCCAGGCTGAATGCTCTGAGGAATCTGCTCGGCAGGTAGTTGGATTAATGCAACAATTGCCACAATGGACAACTTCTTATCGTGAACCCGATTAAAATTCTCGATGTTTGAGAACCATAAACTAAAGAATTTGTTGGTCCAGCCGTGCTGTTCAAGGATTTGTAATGTGACCGAGGGGTTATAGTAGATGCAGTTGATAATCATTTCCATCAAGTGAATCCGATACGACTTGATGTCCCCTGGGGCGTTGAGACATGTCATTGCGATTTCAACGAACCGAGGGAGATATTGATCAGCACGCCCCCGAAGGTTAAGTAGCACAGCCTCAGCGAGCTTGCACCCGCAGATGCGATCCATGGCCCCTAGGCGCTCATTTGTGAAGATCTAAAGTAGCTCGTCAGGCCCACGTATTCAACACGAACGGGACGGGGGGCCTACAGTTTGAATAATGTCAAACACAGCTTCCAACAAGGCAGGGTTTTCCTTCAACGTATCTGCGCCGTATGAGACATAGTTGTCGAGAGCGGGGAGCATTTCTGCGAGTGTTAGCTCCAAGATATGTTCCGCAACGAGGTATTTCTTACCCTCAATATAAATCTCTCCACGGTCTTTGAATGATTTATGAATGAGCTCAAAAACAACCCACATAGTATTCGAGATTGCCTTCGCAGCGAAGGTACAGCTATCAATGATTTCAAACACCTCATTGTATAAATCTAACCAAGCCGGAAAATGAGTAATATACCCGACAAAATCTCAAATGGATGCTCACCAAACAGTTTATGCTCTAAGGTGATGGTAATAACGGGGACGAGTATTTGCTCAAGGCGCAGGAGAACATTGGGGCTACTCTCCAACGTTAAAATGAGAGTCCCAATGGTCTGCAGAACCCCCAAGGCTGTAATGCTTTTGTCATCTAGATAGTTGTCGGCATCGTCATCAAGAGAATTTGCACCCTTATCAATAACATCCTGGACTATCCGGAGATAGGTATCTCTCTAAACCGTTGTGAGACGTTGCACAAAATGAAAAACATACCCGGAAGAACATACCAGTTGCTCGGTGAGCTGCACAGCAAACGGCGTCAACTCCGACGCGAATACCTCAACAAATTCTTCCATCACGTTTGACAATGCATCGACATCAACCTCGTTGGCCAACTTCAGCAATTGTTGCATAATATCCGCAATGTTCTGTTGCATAGACTTCCTAATGAAATCATGCCTGATCAGGGGCTGTAAGGCCAAAGCAGCCTCCACCCGAACAGGAAGCTCGGAGTCGGCAAGGCATTGTAAGATGTTCTGATAGACAAGGACAACATTCTAAGAAATAGTCAGCAGATGGACACAATACCGGAAAACACCGAAACCTACATTCTCATCCTTGAAATCAAGGTCCGAGAATTTCTCCAAGACATGGCAAGCACGTGCCCGGAGGAACCCGTGCTGACTTCGGAACTCCGGAAAAACATGACGAACAAAGAAATATTCGACCTGGTCCGCAATTGGACTGCCCTTGCCAAGAATTATTGCAGAGAGTGTTCCAATCATTCTCAAAGCGCCTTCCTTCTCTCGATAGTTCTTCTCATTTCCTGGAGCTGCCTCATACCTAGCGCCAAGATTAGCACATCGTTCAGCCCTCTCTGGTTTCATAAATCCTACCTATTAACAACATCATTGATAAAGTTAATAACGGTAAAGGTCTGCTTTCGTCGGCACTTGCTAAGGGTAATCAAGAAATTGGTGGCAGCAGCATCCGGCGCTGATATTTCTTCATAAAAGTTGATTTTACGAGTCAAGTACTCTGCCGGGTCAGACTCAAACAATTCGAGGTCTCCATCCGATTGGCACAGTAGAGGGAACAACACGTGCGAAATTAAGTTTCCGATATGGGGGTTTAGGTGTTTCCATGTGGCGGACGGTTTGATACTGTGCAGGACGGAAATCAGACTCACTCCTGCGCCAAGCAGTGGAATGAAACATGAACAGCTCGCAACATACCATTCATCCAAGAAAGCGATTGTACTGGACAGGCATATCTTGCTCAACCACGCCTGCTTAGAAACCCACAATTCAACCTGCTGTAGATAGACCTTCAGAATCTCGGGGGCGAAGTGATGAATAAAGTGCTTAGAGAATTTCTCGTAATCCCCAGAGTTTGCCGCCGCCAGACTGGTAGGATTGCCGTATCTGTATTGAAAGAGGTTAACTCTCCCACTCACAACTTCAGAATGCCTTAGAAACATGCCTAACAAATAATCGGTTAAGATTCGAGTATGCCCACTTCTTCGCCTTCCACCATGGATGAATCTCTCTATCTTCGAGATCGTCCGGCATGGATTCCGGTGGTGCTTGCTTGCCAACCACCTTAAGGAAGAGAGTCGCCCAGGCCACAATGGATGATTCCTCCCTTAGATGAGCTGCTAGCTCGAACTAATTACGCCGGGTCAGATATGTTGGCCCCATCACCCACGGGAACCATGACTCACGTAAACAACATGCTTGTAGGTTTTGATGATCATCTTGAGCATATCACCCGCATCCGTGCTAGTCTCCTCCACCAATCTATTCCCGAGAGACAGGAGCGTGGGGAATGTAGCTTGGGTGACACGGTCCAGCTCCTCCCGTTTATCGTTGGCCTGCTTAAACCGGTAAACACGGCAAAGGGAGAGTAGACACTGCACCCCGGCAAAGACGGATCCTATATCATTCGAACCTAGGAGCTGAAGGGTGATGTCCATGTAGCTGGGCCACTTTTCGGGAAAGTCATAGTGAAGGACCTTCCCAATCAAAGGCATAAGCTGCTGCCGTACTTGGGGCGCGGATGATGCGAGGGTAGGGACAAGGCGGTCACGAAATCCCGCCTTTTCCCTCTCGGGAATCTGCGGGTTCTTTGGGAAGTCTTCATTAAATTCCCATGACCGGACGACTTTGTTTTTAAGGTATAGCACAGCTGTTGGAAGAGCACCAGGTCAAGTCAGAACAATCGGAAACAGCATTCCATTTTTCACTCCCCGGAGGAGAAAACAAAAACGAAAACATCATATTTGCCCTTCTCCAAATAATAATAATAATAATATTCGGGGGGCTCTGTGGGGTGCAACGGTACCGGAAAGGCGAACTTGTAGCTCAGGGTCCGACGCTACGATATCCAAGAGTGCACCAATAAACCCAGGCGATGATTCCGCCTACCACAACAAAAACAAATCAAGCAAGATTAGCTAGCGGAACAGGGAGACGATAAAAGCAACCCAACCAGCAACCGGTAAAGTGTCTGGGGCATTATGGTGAATTCTCGTACCTGTTTCAGTTGTAGCTCAGCCTGTCGCCGAATGTCGGCGTTCGCGTCGAGCGCTGACAGAGTGCACTCACGAAGAGCTGAAACATCCATGGTTTCCGGTTCGGATGATTCCCACTGTGTTTGTGCAAATTGGCTTTTCAAAATGTCGATAATGGGGGAGAACGGGTTCGGGCTGAAGAGGAGATAGAGAGGGACGGGAAAAGGGTTGAAGAGCGCAGGGCGGAAGAGGTTGCTGGGAAAACGTGAGCGCGGGGGTGTTGAGAGGGGCAGAGGAGGGAAAGCAGAGGGGCACCCAAAAGGTCAAGGGAGCAACAGCAGGGAAGGGGGAAAAAGGAAAAACAGAAAGGTGAAAAGGGCACAAAAGAAAGGAGGGATAGCTATTAGAAAAGCTAAAGGACTGAAGGGTATCTGGTTTTTTTTTTCCCCCTTCACGGACAAAACCCTCCCCCCCACAGGAACCCTAGGGATAACTTGGCTGGGTTTTAGGGTTGGGTGTGGTACACTGTTTTTTAGACGGTGAACTAAGGTATGATATAGCAATTTAATCTTTTTACGACCATCCAAGGGGGGAAGGTACTGGAAAGAATCTCAACCCTCAAAACATGACTTTTCGAGACCATCTCAACGGCCTTTCCAAAGGATCAATACTACCGATCTGACACTCATCATCAGGTACTCGTAGTTGGTCTGGGCCACCTCACATATCTGTATCTAATACTCCAGTAGATGTGATGAGTGTGATGTATGATACTCGAGTACTCGTACTGTGCTACCCTACCAGCACCGACCAGGTCCGGGCTACCTTTGCTCCTTTGCAGCCTCCTTCCCAATGGAAGGGGGAAGCAAGAGGACGGAGGAAGGAAGGAGAGGAGGGAAGGAGAGAGAAAGAAGAAGAAAAATAGCCTTCTCTCTTTATCTCGCCCAGTCACTTTACCAGAACCATTTCATTTGCCATCTACTCACCCATCCCCCCCTCCCAAATATTATTCTTCTGCTTTCCCTTCCAGGGTATGACCCTTCCTCGTTCCACCGACGGCATCTAAAGCCCAACAAGCCCACGTTGCGCGCAGCCCAGCCCAACATCGACATCTCCAACAACACCACCTACCGGTAAATTGCTATACCGGTACTCGAGTACCTTAGTAACCAATGTCCCATGGGCAACATCACTACACGAGTACTCGAGTATTGCAATAAACAAGACACTACTGCTCGATAAAGGGAAACTCCTCTTGCAATAGGCCCCGTCCCTTGCTTTGATCAACGCCCTGGGGGTAAATCCTCTCGGTCGGCGTGTTTCTCTTGTTGGCGGAATAAGGAAATACTGCATCATAGCTATTTTTTATTTTTTATTTTGTGGCAGTCCCTCCCTCGCTATCTTATCACCTCGCGCGTTTCTATGACCCTTCGTGGGGTAGACTAGACCAATCGCGTCCTAGTCTATCATCGCGGACCCAAATTATCATGCGCATTGCGAGAAAAGGAAAAATATAAAGGGGGAAAAAAATGGAAGGGAAAGGGAGAGAAGAAAAAGAAAACAAGAAGAAAAAGAAAAGACAAAACTGCAAGAGGTAAAAATCAGTGGAAGAGCCTCCCCGGCGGGAACCTAAAGAATCTTGATATATCACCGGCAGATTGCGGTAGACTACGGTACTCGTACAAGAAAGTACTCGAGTATTCGAGTACCGTACCTCTATACCAACAGGCTTTTCCTGCCACCCGTAAAAATGCACAGATTATCACACGGTATGAGTGCGAGTACAGCACTGCACAAGTACCGGTATTCGAATACGGTACGGTGCCGCACCGCTTCACATCTTGCGCATTGAGGCCAGCATAGAAACCTACCGTAATTCATCTGGCAGGAATGGAGAGAAAAAAAAGCTGGGGACATCTAAGACACACACGGCGGAAATTTATGCAGTCTGTCGAAAGCACCGTATATCTTTTTCGAGCACCGGTAAGCTATCGCACTTGTCGCTATAAAAGCGCACGGCTCTTGGTTAACAGTAATACCGTGGGTGTCTTGCTGGACTTCTTTTTTGGAGCTGTTACCGGATTACTCACCCCGGTTAGGCCTCCCGACTCAAGGGGAGCCCCCAAACCTTGACCCGGATGTTATCCTATGATGATGCCTCCCAAGACTTGTAATACTTGCCCACTGGTTGTTTGTTGTCAGATGCCGTAGCGCGCGGTATGCCGTCAATTAGCTTACTGTAGTCCGAAAACCGTTCATCCCGTCTAGATCGGGTATACAGCCTACCGGTACCGGCAGTGTACCTGCACCGTGCCGAACTCCTACACAGTACTCGAGTACAGTACAATACTCGGGTGTCAGACAAACAGAGTGAGGCCGGACAGATCACGAATAGCAAGACAGCTCTAGTGCGGCGATCCTAATAGACCACAAGTGCGCTACCATGGCAGCGTATGATGCGGTGACGTATATATTCTATTGTTATGCTAACCTGGGTACGAGTAAGATACACATGTGATAATCTAACACGCGTTTAGCAAATAATATCAACCTCAGCATCCCCTTTAGAGCATTTCTTCCGGATTGCCAATTACTAAAATGTAGAAAATAGTCAGCTCTATCCCGTGAGCAGCTTTGTTACCGTTTCTGGAAGGCGGTGGAACTAAGAATAGAAGACAGCAGTTACTGACCAAATACAAAGAGGCACAGTGGCAGACATCCCTCTTGATCAACTCCTGGCACTCCTGCATTTTAGCAAAGAGAGATGGATCTCCGATGATCCGAGCAGAGCCTTTGACCTCACGGCACGTCTCATCCAGCCTAGTGATGGCTCTCACAATTGTTCCCTCCAGAACGTCTGTTAGATCCGTTATCTGGCTGAAAGACATCCCCTTTGCCCATTCATAGACGACCTCCATCAGGCCAAACCGCGGTCTATTATCGAAATCGTCATTCTCCGGAGTCATTGCAATCTGATTCGCTACCTGGACCCGATTGACTCTCCTAGAAATCTCTATGATCTTCGCCTTACCTTTCTCCAACCGGGCGGTGACGGTTGGTGCAACGTCGGTTTTTTCACTGAACACGAATGCTGAAAGAAGGGCCGCAATCTCCTCGGGTTCGTATTCTGCAAGGACGTTTTCCAAAATCAATTCTGTCAGTACCAGTTCATTGGCTGAATTGATCTGTGGGCCGGTAAGCTATCCTCTCCTCAAAAATGGGTAAGTAGCATTGAGATTACTTCACAGGCCACCCTTCCCTTTAGCTGCACGTTCATATTTTCATCGATAAAGTCCAGGTCTTTTAATACCGACACGCGCTGCTCGTAGTCTGGTAAAAGCTGTAGGTTTTGGTCGGATATCAGATGTTTTAGGTTCGCAACTTCCAGCTCCAGCAAGTACTTTTTGTAGCTTGAATGAAACTAAGGTTATGAGTTAGCCTGAGCCCGAATGGAGGGGGGCAAAGTAGCTCGTTGACTTACGTGTGCCGCAAAGTTATCGCATTCGAGGCATCCGTACTGATATATTTCCCTCTCTTTTTTTCTGCGGTACTCAAGGAATTCTAATGTCGTAAGATCCTTAGCCCTTGACCAGTCAACCTCTGTCCATTCAGAGTTAGTCCGTTCAGGGTTAGGCCATTTCCCATATAAAGCTTTCAGCTCTTCCTCAACAGCTCGAACATCCTCACGAAAGCCCTGGTGTGCTCTCGAGATGTCGAGCCTGGTGATCATTGATCCTAGATACTCTATGTTGGATATATGGATAGTTTCCACTCGGAGCTTCCGTCCTTCGTATGGCGGCACCGGGGAACTTATTGAGCAAGCAATAGTGAAGGGTAAATCATCGACTGAATAGGAGCACGTTAATAATGGAAGCCGTTATCTATGGCCGAACATACCTACCTGGAGTCTTTACGGCATCCTTAGACGTAAGTGCCAAAACCTGCACAACGGCCTGTGCACCACCTGAGGCACCTTCGGTTGCCAAGAATCCAATAGCCCTATGGCCATCCTAGAGGGATACAATGAGCACGCGAGACAATCGCTACATGTAGTAGCCGCGAGAACAAACCTTTGTACTAATGGCAACCAAACGCCCTTTTGTGAAATATCTCTTCCCTGCAGTGGTCCTAGAACCACTAATAATTACTTCTTTTGAGACTTTCTTCAATTCCTCCGCTGCCAGGACAAAGGCGTCAAGATCCAGATCGCATATTTTGCAGTCCTCGCTCTGAAACTTCTTCAGCTTCTCTTGTGATTCTTGTACCTTTTGTTGATGTTTTGGTAGAAGGGTCTGAGATGTGTTTTCACTAAAACTCCGTTTGATCATCTCTTCGATTTTTAGAGCTTCCACGCGGAAAAGGTTTAGTATCATATTGTATGTCAAGCGAAACTGGCTTTGAAGCTTTGTAGGTTTTCCAAGAAGCATTTGCTTTAAAGTAGCGGCCTATATCCATTAGCTCCGGCTCTATAACAAACTTCACAATAAAGGCTTACCGGAGGCGCCTCATCCATCGGTGAAATAAGGATTACAATGCCCCGCTCGTCAAGACCCCTGCGCCCAGCGCGACCTGCCATTTGGATATACTCGCCTGGCTGAAGATCACGGAATGATTTTCCGTCATGCTTTCGATACCCAGAGAACACCACAGTGCGGGTAGGTAGATTAAGACCCATTGCGAATGTCTCCGTTGCAAACAGAACTTTGACCAATGTCTTCGCAAATAGGATCTCAACAATCTCCTTGACAATTGGCAAGAGTCCACCGTGATGCACAGCCAATCCCCTTGCCAGGAGCTCCCGCATTCTCAGTATCTGCGGCAACAACCTGTCTTCGGGCTTTAGCCTTGCGATACTCTTCTCGATTATCATATGGATAGCACTCTTCTCGGTTTGGTTGGAGAAATCAACGGTACTCAAGGCATCGGCATTCTCCTCACACCTCTTTTTAGAGAAAACGAATATAACCGCGGGAAGCAAGGTCTCTTTTTTCAGATGATGCACAAGGTGAACCCAAATATTCTTGTCTTGCGCAGTGGTTGTCCTCATACCACCTCTCCCGCTCCTTGAGAAGCCCGCAGTGCTCTGTCCACCTCGTTGGCCACCACCGCGGCCGCCTCCTCTCTGGGTTCCACCACGACCCCCACGTTGGTTCTGGCCACCACCGCGTTGACTTCCACTATGTTGCGGCCTGTCAGGTTCCTTCTTTCTGAGTGCGTTGTTTGCATCTTTCAACCCTTCCTCGAGAAACTTTTTTTCTGAATTAACAATCTTATACATAGCCTTATTCGCCCATATAAAATGCTCTAGTGGCACTGGTCTCTTAGGTGTTGAGATTACATAAATATCCTTTTTCTTCGTGCGTCCCACCCAACTGGCAAATTCGTAAGGATTGGGTACGGTTGCCGATAAAAGAATGAGATTGACATGTTCGGGAAGCATGATAATAACCTCTTCCCATACCACGCCTCTCTATCATTGCTTTGTCAAAACATCGAAATATAGGTAAACCAGTGCTCTTACTCACCTCTTGATCATTGACATAATGAACCTCGTCAAAAATAACAAATTCAACATCACGAATCAGATCGGCTCCTCTGTAAAGCATACTCCTCAAAATTTCTGTTGTCATGATTAGACAGCTGGCTTCAGGATTTATCTGCACATCTCCAGTCAAAATTCCCACGTCTTCGAAAACATGACGAAAGTCTCGAAACTTTTGGTTGCTCAAAGCTTTGATCGGCGATGTGTAGATTGCCCTGGACTTTTATAAGCGCCCAATTTCTTGTAATTAGTGAATACCAACATACTTGGTCATATGCTTTGTAGCAAGTGCAATTGCATACTCAGCGACCACAGTCTTCCCGGCGGAGGTGTGCGCAGCCACAAAAACTGAATCACCATTTTCCAAATGATAAACAGCCTCTTTCTGAAAAGTATCCAATTCGAATGGCCACTGTATAAATAATTAACATAGGGTGATTCAAGTTATTGTCCGAGTTACCTACTTCCTTGGCCATATTCGGGACCAATTCATGGAAATTGGTGATTTCTTGGTTGACATCAACCATATGAGCCCATTCCTTTGTTTTTGGCTTCAATAGCGAAGGCAGATTTCCTTTTGGTATCAACATAGGAAACTGCAATCCATTAGTACTTTAATATTAAAAAAAACAGCATACCATCTCACCTCAACAGGTAGTAAATCATCAATGGCGTCTAGCTCTGCAAGAGGGCTATCGGCCTTCTCATCATGATCACCACTGGTCTCTCCCCTTCGTCTCCTCTTAGGCTCCACATCCCCGAACTTGAAACCATCATCGTCAACCTCTTTTTCAACCGCATTGTCGTCCGGAGTTTCACCAAACATCAGCCCCCGCGTCATGCCCGGCGCAACCCTCAATAGTCCGTCTTTGCCAATTTTCTCCTCCATCAGGGCCTCCTGAAGCTCCAACTCCTCGGGCCTCTCATTTGCAGCTCCGATATCAACTCCGCCAGGACTAAACGGAAAAAAACCTGCTTTGCCTCGTACGAAATCTGCCTTTGAAGCGGGTTTTCTTAATAGTGAAGTAGAGTTCTTCGCAGTAATTGAGTGAGCAGGAACCGTAACCTCTCGGTAACCAGTGACACGACCCTCGAGGCCCTCGCGAGTGAAACGGATAACGTTACGAGACATTGAAGGGGCGAGGCCCATGAGGGAAACGTAGTCCGGTGGGTCATCCCATCGTCTGTAAACAATTAGAGTAAGATTTAGCACAAATCCGAGACAAGAACACATACTTCTGAAGCTTATTTAGCCATTCGGTAGAAAACACTGGAGAGGGTGTAAGAAATTCCTGTTGAAGCTGCTCTTGGAGCTGATATTTATCAGGCTTAACCCGTTTACGGGGCAGTTGTTGGTTTAGTATACCCTCGATCCATCCATCAGGCTTGTCGAAGTCAGCCAGAGACAACTGGTTAATGGCATCCGCGAGACTCTCGGAAGAGGCCATTGTAGAAACGTCGCTAGCCTCTAATAGACTAAAGACGCTTTTCTGGTGTATTGTAAATGGGGCAGTCAGGCGGTAGGTAGGTAAGTAAATAGTGGGCTTTGACGACAAAGGTGTTGTGAGGGGATGTTTGTGCTCAGCCAGACTATTAGGTGGGGTGGTGAATCTACCGTATTAGGTTGCCAATGTCACGTGCCTTATCGATAAGCCGGCTAAATGAAAAGGCCGCGCAGTGGAGAGAAATTAACATATCAGGGCGCACGTCTCAATCCTCTACGTCCTTTGCCAATCCCCCAAGTATTCTGCAATGCGGAGCTTTATTATAAGGTGTCACAAGTTATGATATCATACAGTTTATACATGTGTCCTGTACCGATACATCAAGCAAGAACTTGGTTAACTACCAACCGCCAAGCTCCGCCATAGCTTCCATCTCATCTGCGAATTCGTCGACAGGAGGCGCAACAGGAGTAACTTTAGGAACATCCTTCCCTTTATCAATCGGACTAGCTACTATAGCAGTTGCGCCTATAGCAGCGACACCTGCAGCACCTGCAGCAGCAATTTCATCCATCAATGCATCTAGCTCATTATCGTCCGGCCCAAAGCCTTCTTCCTCGGAATCACTAACAGGCCCGCCCAAGAACAAAGCCCCACTATTGCCCACAGCAGGAGCAATCGCACCTGTCGGTCTTGAGTACAGGTCATCATCGTTAGGTGGAATTTCGTCGCTGAGGGTTCCTGGTGCGATGTTGGTTTCTGGCCTCTCTTGGTCCAGATCCTTTTCTTGTGTATTGCTGCCTGCCTTTTTCTTATTATCCATAACCCAGCTTTCTCTCTCCATTTTCATTCTCCTGGAGTGACCGAGCTTCTCGATTATTTGAAGGGTATCTCTAAACCTGGCCTTTTTGTAAAGGTCGTCAGCCCAGAGTTGGTAGTAGGAAAGTAGTTTCGCGGCATCTCGATACTGGATGCTTTTATGTTAGCAAAATAGTGATAAAAGGGAGGAGTTGAGTCCGATTACCTCGTGGCCTTTCCCCTTGAACCTAAGTCTCTTGGGAGCCTCCCTTCTAAGTTTGGGAATCCCAATGTCCTCTCTCAAGAGCCTAGGAAGACCTGTTAGCCAACAATATCAGAACTCCTGCTTCCCGCCCTCCTCCTCCGTACCTTGTCTCATCCAACTTGACATTGACCCGCTTTCTCTTGATCTTAACTTCCTCATCAAGTCCTAAATTGTCCTTCGCCCCATCCTTCTTCTCGGGGGTAGGCGGTCTGATGGTCGTGTCGATATCCGGAATATCCGCATCGTAATCAAACAAATCGTCGTCCATATAGTTCTCATCCACGATGTTGGAAGTATCTCCCGGCATGTTGTGCAGCGTTTGTTTGTTAGGATTTGTTAAAATATTGGAAATACGCGACTGACACTTCGCTCGTGCGAGAGAAAAGCGGCGGGAAAGCGGAAGACGCGCCGCGCGTCTTGCACGGCCGTGGACCCTAGGCCACAAAATTCCGGCACCCACAGTATCGTACATACTGAAGCCATCCCAAAGAAGACTAGTGCTTAGGCACAACCCACCTTTCGTTCCACAATTATCGATCCCGCATTTCCACCAGCAGAAACGACCGAATAGCCCTTCAAATTCTCCGCTCGTGCAAACCACCATGGACGTTGTCCCGCCAAAGACCGTTCATACTGATTTCCCGGTACGTCCTCCCCCAAGAATTGAAGACACAAGTTCCAGTAACCATTGGAGAGATTAGGTTATCGACACCGACCCGTAAGATCCGAATACCCCCAATGTTTACCCCGCCAAAACCAACAGATAAACGGACAAAACTGATATCGAATCGCAGTCACTTCTTTCGTGTGCTCCGGTACGCCCGTCCATCCGATTATGCTCTCGGTGCCGGGACGGCCGCGGCAGGTCCAATTCTCTTTCTAGCGATGGAGAAAGCACACCCGTCGTTCTTGCCCAGATCCGCCATGGCACAGAGTTTGCGTCTTGTCACGGCGATCGGTGTTGCCGCGGGGTTTCTACGATACTATAAGCGGTCTTCATGTAAGCCCTGTTGATTACATACCCGCCAATGTTAGGAAAGGGAGGCTGAGGGCGACTGATGGATGGTATTTCCAGTACGATTCTGGGGATGGGCTGAAAACGCGCGGGAGGTAGAGATGGACATGAAAGAGATGGTTCAGAAGGTCAAGAATAAGGAGCCATTGTACGGAGTTTCTGTGCTTGATGCACATATGCAGGGGGTCGCTGCTCGTAACTCGCGTTACTCCCAGACATTCTTCCATGTCTTGCCGTGGTTTAACTTGGTTAACCACAATCAGGTGAGTTCCTGTCAGTTACAGAAGCTACAAGGGATTGAGATCTCTGATATTCGGAAATTAGCACGGTGTGGATACAACCAAGTACTTCCGTGCGGCGGAAGAGGAGCTGGAAAGGGAACGCCTTGCCAGGGGAGAATAGGCATCACTCCGAAAAAAAAAAAGACAGGCAGAAGCACCCATCTCCTTTAGTGTTCATTAGTTTAATGTACAAAAAATACAAGACATGCATATCAAGGAACACATTTCCCTTGGCCCCCTTCCTCTCCTACCATTCGGGATGATTTAATAGATCCTGCAAGGTTCTACCCATATCGCTCCCATCCCACACCACCCTATTATCCTTCCCGCCGGTAGTTCCCGTGATAATCGATAACCCAGTCCTATCCACAGAAATTCTTATCCGCCGAGTAGATTTATCGATAGACCACATCTCGTTAGATTGTGCTATCTGCTCCCACTTGTCATTGGTGTACCTGACCTCATTGACGATACTCCGCTCCAGACACCAGAAAAGGTACATCTCCATCTCCTTAGACGAGGTGAATATATTTTCGCCCATCAGCCGCGCCGAAACTCCATCGTGGGATGTGCCAATGATGTATCCAGTACCGTATAGTGGATGGCTAAGGGTGGTCCTCATGTTGATCTCGACCTTCCAACCGCCAGGGAGCTTTACTGTAGCCTCGCTCTCGATCCTCTCCAGGAAGGCCTCCACAGCGGTTTCTACGTTCTTGATTACGGGCTTGAGACAGTTGTGGCGGGGCTTTGTCACGAAGGCCGCGATCATCCCAGCGGATTTAACAACTTTAATTAGGTGCCTGAGTAGGTTCTGCAGATTTAGCTGATGCTGGTGATGTAAGAGGTGTGTAGTGATCGGTGTGACCATGCGGAGAGCAGGAAAGACTACTCTACGCTGGGTTAGAGGCGGTGGCGGCTTGCTGCGCTTCCTTAGGCTCATCCTGTGATTGTATGATAGGAGGATACGGAATGCCATGACGACGCCTTGCGCGAGGTTGCTGTCAGGATTGTGTATATCTAGAACCACATCGCCATCGTCCAAAGGTGCCTACTAAGCCGTTAGCTCTAGAAACCCGGGCGCACATAAAAAACGGAAACCCCTCACCATATCAATTGCTATACTCCTACCTCCCCCCAGGTCAATTGTAACCGCATCCTCACTTGTTCGTACACCTAAGTTCGCCATAAGCCTAGCTTCCCTCGCGATCTCAAAGAAGAGCTCATCCTCGTAGATAAAGTTCCTAGCCCGCTGAATCATATCCTTAACCGACCCAGAGCGTTTATTCCCACTCTGCACACTAGATCCTTTCACCTCTCCATTCTCGAGGACACGGACTCGGAGCATAGCCTTGCCATGTGAGCCAGTGGTAGCCACATCGTCCATAACCACATTGCCATCCTCCCCACGCCTCAAAGCTCCCACACCCTTGCTTTTGTACTCTGCTGCCGACTCCGCGAATCCGAACCTCACACTCAGTGTTCCCCGCTCGCCGGGCATCCGTGTTACCACCCAACCATCTTCTCGAATGGCCAGTATATGCTCCCAGTATCGTGCTTCCTTCTCCACCTCGTCGCCAAGCCCCTTGGAGGCGCCCATAAGTGTGTCAGCAGCAGAATTCAGACCCTCAACCTTCCATGCGTGGGAGATAGCTAGGTCTTCTTTAACGGACTTAGGGTCTGCCTTGCGCTGGACTTTATCAAAACCGAGGCTCCCGACTGGTACGGATCTCTTAAGCACCGGGGACATGCTTAAAGAGCCGGCTTCGGGACTGTGCAGTGACACCAAGAGGGAAACATAGTCGAGACCAAAGAGCGCATCGTTCAGTGCGTATCTATCCACCAGTATCTCATCCAATTAGCAACCCCCAATAAATGGAACCGACTAATCGTAGCCCATACCCAACTAGTTCCGACATCTCCTCTTTTGCCTTCTTTAGCTGTGTCACCCTGTCGAGCTCCTCTCCTGCTGCTAGGACAGAATTGCTAGCGCCTTCCTCGTTCTCCTCCACCGGAGAATTACCGAACAAGGCGTCGACCTCCCTCCCCTCCTCAATTTCGCTTCTCAGAATGCTCTCGTTGACGTCTCGGAAGTGCCCACGCTGATCTTGTATGCGTTTTATCAGTGACGAAACCGACTTCAGCTCTGGGTCGTCTTCCGGCCAGGATTTGAGAGATAGGAGGAGTTGATTGGAATTCATTATGATCACGAGGTTATTCTAGGCCGTAGGTATTCTTAATGTAAAATTCGGGCAGCGAATTAAATACTTATCGGATGAGAGGGAATGGTCCCGTAACACGGAGGAAACGATGGGGTTGTTGGTGGTGGGTGGGTTGAAACGAGCGACAGGGGCTGAGTCGGGTTGGTGGTCCGAGCTTGTGGGGCCGCCCTTGTGCTATATAGCTCCCGCAGGTTGTGGAAGACATCAGGTGGTTTATAAAACTGGTATCCTAGATTTCTATCGCACCCATATCCTCCTCCACCCCATCAACCAACACTGCGAGACCAAATTGCGCTAGTTTTATCATAATATTTAACCTAGAAAAACAGTGCCCTACCTCTACTTCAGACCCGGTTCGTGGGATTTCTACTTATGATATGTGGGTCCCCAATTCTGTTAACTATCACTCGTTACAGATTTCCGTACAATATCCTGCAAAATTAAAGCCGCCCTGCTTGATAACGCAGGTGCCCATTTGGGAGGGCCCTCCGTTAGTGAAATCACACATACTTTTCGCTACAGCATCCCGTCACAGGCAGATACCGGTAACGATCCGGCTCAAGAGCAAATGGCGTCAAGGAGAACATGCTAGGGAGCCGGAATGGCGATAGATATTGCGTGTTTCCCTCTTCACCTCTCAATGCTGTGTGAGGGGCTAGAATCGTTCCCACGCTTTAGATTTATTCATCCCTGGCAGACCACCGTCGAGAGGCTCGCTAGAGAAGTTCCATGACGTTCATCAACTTGAAGATATATATGCAACCAACTGCTTGCCCCTCCTCCCTCTTTTCTCTACTTGTGTTAAAATATGATAGCAACAAAATCACAATCTCTTCATCACCTCACACGTGGGGGGTGTACAATTCACTTCTAGCCGTCACTCACGAACAGATTACTTGCAAAAAAAAGCCCGCTTTGTCTATATCCGATATATTCCCTTTACTTTTAACATCAAATGATGGATGACATACCCAGGCTGACTCTGGGGATTCTTTGCTAGTAGTGATCTACCATGCTCCTGTTAGCGGCCAGATAAGGGCGATAGGGTGTTGTGGATGATTCTGGGAGTGACGGGAGAATTGGGGATCATTTAAGAGTGATATGGATTGTCCCAGAGATTTAGTGGTTCACGGGGAAGCTCCTTCAGAGATGTCTTTCCTTTGTTATTACGGGAGTGTGCGGAGGAATAGGGACACGCATGGAGGGAGAGAGATACGTATAGCAATCTATGGAAGGATAAGACTTTCATTATGTTTTACGTATACTCCTCTCTCGACCATTAGTTTGGAAGGTGGGGGGACGGGAAAGACAACAAAGATTCCGACCATACCCTTCTCATATACCGCTAAAGTCCAGAGCAATTCCGCATACTATACCACTACTTTATTTTTTAGTCACCCCGCAGCCATTCAAGCCCTCCCTCTGGTGACAGTTCCAAATTCTCACAAGATTAGGTTCCTGCGATTGAGTTACCCAGTTCAGGTACCCTCACATCTCAAGAGGGCAGAGGCGAGACAAGTTATTTATCAACCTCCCTCAGCTGATAGAGTTAGACTCCTGCTATAATTGCGAGTCATTGTGAGAAGCACATAGCTTGGATTCTCTCTGAGATCTACCCAGGACTACGCGAGCTATGCCTTAGGTGCTCGTGAGTGCTTTGAATTGACGTTTGGCCCAAGATTTCTAGGGAGACTAAATTCTTTGAAGGAGGTATAATGTGCCTCTCCCGGGGAAGGGGAGCTATGCTATTTTCTTCTCTAGATTGGCCCGGTGGCATGAGGACAACGTTATATTGTGATACGATTCCGACTAAATGCATAGATTGAAGGTCAATCTTGAACGGCTGTAGGGTAGCAGATTCTTGAAAAGTCGGAATTAACATACCATATCCTTATGTTGCCCGTATCTAGCGGTCCCGGAGGATCTCCTCCACGGGATCGAGTATCGGGATTACGGCAGCTGGGGGTCTGCTCTATATCCATATCCTAGGTATAAGGTTAACAATCAGTGCCTCTCACCCAAAGAGTTGATGCAAAATCCGCATAGACTGAGCACATCGTCCCGGGATAACACCCCAAAGGTGAGTTGAGGTGTTAGGGGCTCAGGATGTTTAACCCCATGTTTAAAGGATAAGCTTAAGCTACTCCCATGCCAGCGTTCAGGATTCAATCCCATCCGTTACAAGCACTCTACTCGGTCTGGGGGGTGGTTTTCCGGCACGAGTACGGGAATGCGGCCGAGATAGCGATAGGGTGTGAATGGAGGAAGGAAAAGTCGTGTGGATGGAAGGCATTCGTATAGTATCATTCGGAAGGAACCGCAATATCAGGGGCTTGCGAGGCGCCATACAAAAGCCGCGGATGGACTTGCGCTTATACAGCTCAAGCCCCGTAATCCTTTCAAGCATCATACCTACGCTCAAGGCGCGCGCAACGCTACCTGGCCTCCGTCAGTCCAAGAACTCTCGAGACCGAATAAGGTGCGAAGCCGTTCTGTTTCAAAACGGCCTCGGGGCTGGTAGTGGAAGGAAGCCCTGGAGGAGGCCTACCAGCAATTTTACTCTCATTCACAGATTATCATTCGACGGGTAATTCCGACACAGTCACGATAGGATGTGCAAGGGTATCATTGTCCCAGAACTCATCATTTGCGGTGAGTTGAGTGCGTCCCTCCTCAGGACGAGCGCGCAAAATGATAGCTCTAATTACGACCTGAACACCCCCCCCGCTATCATCACAAGGCTAACCCTTCGACCGAAAGACACAAAATGCAGGAAAAAAAAAAACTCCTGGAGAGAACGTAATTGGGTGTGCTTTCATACCCAGGAGGGTCATTACGACTACATTTTTATTTCACGGATCGAGTTCCTATGCCTATGCCCCGCCTGACCGGGAACTGAGGCCGTAAGAGGAAATGTATCATCAACGACTCTACTCGAGTGGATGGAGCGCCCTCCCTTCCCCCGGAGAGAAAAAAGCAAGAAGAGGGTACAAAACTAACGTTATTGCTTCCTACAATCATACCCTATCACTATTCTAGTTCACCACTAATGTAGCACCAGCGCAATTCGGTTTCACGAAGAGAGAAGCATCGCCCCTGTATACACAGTGTAACGGACCAAGAGGCTGGACGGATAAATCGATCAAGTACAGTGCCAGGATAGGGAAGAAGACAAAAAAACAGGAAACACGCGCAAGGTTCAACCACACAATCAAACACCCCCTCCCCCAACCAATCCAAGCACACTCACGAATTGTCATTTGGGGATAACTTCCGATACAGAGGACTTAACTTACATGATAATCTACCGGCAGTCAGTATGTGGAGGGAGGCTGGGCGAAGAAGGTCTTGAGTCATGAGAGGAGGAGCAACCCCGCTATCATCGCCAACCAGCACTGCAGTGGCTAGGTGCACCACGACGATATCATATTTGTGCGCAGCGGTATTCACCTATCATACGGTAGCGTATCTTCCCCGCCCCTCCCCCGCCAAGAAAGCAATTCGGTAGAAACTAAACTGTTGTAAGTTAGTCCCGCTCACAGGCTGTCACCCGGTAGGCCCCGTCGTTTCAGCCCTACTCGAACATGCGTGGGGTACAGTACGGTACTCGAGTACCGGTCGTGTGGTATGATACGGTACGGTACACCACAACCCCATGCTTACGTAAACGACATGTAGGCTGGAGGGAGCCCGCATATCGATAATACCCGTACGGCACTACGCTCGAATTACAAATTCAAAAGGGTTCAACCGCTTCCACTCGCACGTGGGTTTCACAGTACCGTACTGATACCGGTACCCGGCTGAGCGCTGGAAAGCCAAGCCTGGGCTGAATACCGTACTCTTTTGCAACGGAGGGCTAGAAGTTATCATTTTTTGTTCCAGCTGCACAGCGGAGGTTCTGGGGGTAACGTTACTCTGCCGCATACGGTAGTCTACCTACGATCGCACAACGTACTGCGGTAGTCGGGGACTGTAGAGTACTGGCACAGTACAGTGCTTACTCCCACTCTTTTGACAGAAGTGGAAAATATACCCCCTACGCACCATAAGCTACATGGAGGTGGACGACAAAGGGACTGGTCCACTACCCACTCGTCCACTTTCAACCTTGCTTCGCCGTCACCCTCCTCCACCAGAGTACAGTACCGTATGAGTCTGATACGTCTAGGAACAGCCCTCACCACGGCACCAAGGTTGGATAGAGCCATCCAGCTATCTATCATACCCGCCCTAGGCCACAAGCGCCCGGAGGACAAGGGGGCACATCTCGTATGAAGGCTCAGATACGGACAGATATTTCTTCATTCCCTGTTTCCGGGCACTTGCGGCCTGGGACAAGCATTGTCCCGCCCCAAACCATTAAGTCGCAACTCCGACGGATCTCCGTCAAACACATTCACCAAATATCACCCACGGCAAGAACACCCGAGACCCCTGTGCATGGCCACATGGGTTACAGTGCTGGCAAGTGCTAAGCTTTCGGCGAGTGGCTCAGACAGTGTAACATGAGAAGACTGACTAGGGTACCGTGGCAGATGCCGGTACCGGGGTGTGCGCCTGCAAAGAGAACCGACACTCGACCCCTCAAGAAGTAGTGGGGGGAGGAAAAATGTTTCACCACGGTATTTTCATACCCTACCCGTGACGCGGGCGGAGGGGGAGGAAGCGCACAAGATCTATCACGGAGTCAATACGGGAAGCTTCTAGGTAGAAATTAACTTCGAGTTGGGGGGATGGATGGATGGATGGAGCTCTGAGGAAAGTTTTGTGTGATGACTGAAATGTAATCACAACTCTAAATCCAACTCTCGAGCCTACCGTACATGAACCCTGGGACTTGTATTAAATTTACCTACCGTACGGCATCTTCCAATCCCAGCTGAGGTTGAGGAAAAGCGCAGACCCGAAAGCACGATTGTACTGTATCATAATGCTGCTGGTAATGCTCACTCCCGACAAGCAAGCAATCAGACAAGGAAAACCCCCTACGGTACCACCTAAACACTCACTGAACCCGCGTACTGTACGAGTACAGGTATGATAAGTCGATCAATACTGTACATCACGCCAACGACGCCAACCCCCCTCCGCCTCCACACATCCCAAAGTATCTACAGCCCCCCATGACACCAGCACAGTTTCAAAAACACAACGCCTCACTCATTCATCCATATACGATACAGTAAGTAACCAGAGCGAGGGAGAAAAAGGTAGATCCAGTTCCGCAAGTAAAAGCATCACGGGGAGTTCAAGCCTTATCGGCATCTACCTTCCTTCTTCTCCTCTCATGCCTTTTCTGTTTTACTCAAATCAAGATGATGACACAGCGATAGCCCAAGCGCATCCATCCACCCAAACAAACAAAACAAACCGAGCCTCACCCTCTCGAATTATCAAACCATACTCTCAAACTCCTCCACTACGGTAGAGCGGTGAGCCTGACGACGCCAACTTAAGGCTTGAATCTCCGCTTCTGTGATTCCCCCCCCTTCATTCATCAATTATTCCAACGTGATTCGCAGTAAGTTAGCAGTAGCACCTGTATGGCGATAAGTACTGTACTGGTACTCGTAGTGTACTCGAGTATAGTATAATATCATACCATATCTGAAAAAAAGAATGAAAAAAAAAGTACACTCTGATACTGCTCGTGTTACATAGAACTGACCGACCAGCCAGCCATCCCATGATTGCCACCAAAAAAAAAAAAAAAAAGAAACAGCGCCTCATTTTCGGGTATGATACTAGTACTTCATGCCGGACACAAACTACAGTATTATACTCGTATCTTTAACCGCCTTGCGCTGAACGAGTAACGTATGATAAAACTCGACCGTTGATGAAAAAGAATATCCTATCCTATCCTATCCTATCATACCCTTGGCCAACATTGATGTTCACTTTTCTTTTGTTTTTATTATTATTGCCATTATGATATGACACCAGATCAGCTACGGGACCTCTCCCTGGCTCTGAATACGGTGCGAGTACTCGTACAGTAGGGGCCTGGAGATGGCTCTACGGCCGCAACAGCCCGCGCTACACCGATACTGTATGATACTCGTATATACAATATCATACCGGTACTTGCCATTCATGATGTCCGTGCAGACGTACTCGTACAGTGGTGCACTTTTTTTTTTTTTTCTACATTCCGGTATCACAATGGACACAAAAAAAAAGCACCTAATATGAATATTTGCACTTATTTACCTTCGGTTGAATCCGTCTGACCTCCTGCTTTCCTGTTCCGACGGTGCCGTACAGCGGTCTATTCGGATCGCAGGGACTTGAAATACGGGCTTACCGGAGTTCTCTCTAATGGAGGTTGGCCCAAGTGCCTGTAGAGTGATAGGTTCGAGTTGCATTGTGTCCATTGACAACTGTTATAATGCTATGTAAATTTTGGAGGGAAATTGCTTGGTGTTTACCCATTGTACCCTGCTGTAATATTAAAGCTTCGACCGCAAATAACACCAACAGAAATATGGAGAAGCACTAAAAAGATGAGAGGCATTGAGGCTTAAACTCCAAACTTGTGGAACCAAATCATGCTACACCCAGAAACGGCTCTGGTGCGTGCTGTAGACGCTTTGCACGATAATGGGGAATGCGATCCTGCAAAAACCCTCCTCTTATGATACCCCAAGTCGTATTCACCAGGCCTCCAACTAGCAACTCCAATCCACCGCAATCACCGCCACTCAGAAAACTACTTTTCCTGTGGGAGTACCGGTGGTCTGCCTTCTAGCCTTTTCAGAACTCTGCAAGTCTTTCACTATGCTACCTTCTGGGATAACGTTTCGATCAAATCCGGGTCCGGTAGTCTAGTGCGCTGTTTCTTTAGGGTATGCATGTTAATAAATCCCCCCCCCGGAAAAAAATTTCTTCCAGGAGATGGTATTACAAATAAATCATATGGCCAAGTAAGAACGCCTATAGAGCTATGATAATGCCTTATTTTTATCTTATTCCTCTTGGATAAGGGAAATTGCACCCGACACCGCCAGGGCGAAAAGCAACAACAAACAAGAGGGAGGGAGAGGCATTATGAGGTGCGGAGTATCATGTGGTCTTGGACGGCACAATGTAACCTAGCCCGTGATAAGTGAGGTTAACGGGAGTGAAGAAGGATAAAATGAGAAGGATGTAAGAAGGGAGGGAGCGAATAAAGGTACCAAGAGAAAACGATGGGAATAAAAGTGCAAAATAAAGGAGGAGAAAAGCAAGACCAATACAATAGCAAAGCTAACAGAGCGACGCGAAAAAGAAAAGAAGCCGAAACTGCAGATATGTACAAGCGCAGGATGTATAAATTGACCACAAACCAATTAACGCCTCTAGTGATGGTAACGATAAAAAGGTGCAATGACGAAAATCAAATGATAGCGGATCAATAAAAGGAAAAAGGCTAAGACCCGTCGAACGTCAAACATGCAACAAAAAAGCATCAATCAATTCCTCTTCCCCGCCTCCAACTGCTCCATCTCATCACCGAACGGATCATCCTTACCCGCACCTCCCCACCACCCACTCTTTCTACCAATAATCATCCCAACCAAGGTGAGACCCACCGCACCAAGGAACAGTGCATCGAACCACCTATCCACGAACGCGGGGTCAAGGGGCGCGCCCAACGCCTGGCTGATCACAGTGCTCATGTGCGGGGGTAAATTACTCCTAAGCAAAAGTGCGGAGGCGAGGACATAGACAGCGCTGATCTGAGATACGAAGAGTGCGAGGTTCGGGTTCTCGCCTCTGACGGCATGGCCCATGACTCCTGGCGCCGCACGGGTGAGCATATTGAAGGTTGTCATGGCTGAGCCCAACGAGCCGGCAATAATGACTCCTGAGAGAGCGAAGCTAATTTGGCGGGACCAAGCAACACGGTCGAGATGCGGGTCCCAGTGCTTCGCGATGACTGCCAGGACGTTATTTATGGGATCGCTCTGCGAGAAGGAAGACCTCTTTCGGTGCAAGTGAGGGATATGGGCGAGGGAGGTCGCGATGATCCTGTAGACGCAATAAACAGAGAAGCCGTAGGAAATGGCTCGCAGTACGCGCCCAAATAAGGACCTGGCCTGTTGCTCTGATGACAGGCGGCGCTGGAGCTCTGCAAACTCTGCAGCAAGCGAAGTACGCATTGTCTCCAATCCATTAACTTCCTGGGATAATACGGCGTGTTCTGCAAAAATAGATTAGCATGATCAGCGACTTGAAATGAGGGCAGCAGTCTAGAATGCAAACCCTGAGCATCGGCATCTCCACGAATTGAAGAAAGCACTTTACTCATCAATCCTTCCTGGGAGGTCTATAAACGATCGTTCATTAGCATGGTCGTAAAACAAGATACAGCCAAGCATTAAGGACAAAAGTCTTCCCACCTTCTTGTCCCGAATCTTTTTCTCCAGGAATCTCATCCTGTTGCGTTTGCTTTCAAGCATCTCAATAGTAGCATCCAAGCCACCTTGAGCACGCGAGAGGTCAATCTCGGTAATGGGCCTCGTTTTGACGGCAAAGTTGTGCCATGGCGAGGAAACACAACCGAACCCGGCTGAAAAGTGCCAGTCAGAGAATGTTTCCCCGAGACACATATGCTTGAAGTTGAAATTAGCTAGACAATGCAAACTCACACAATAATGCCATCAACTAAATATAACTGTTAGCACTGTAGCGAGGAAAGGATCCGGAGATTGCGCTTACCGAGACACCTATCACGCCCACTCTTGCCAGGCATTCTTCCCTCAAAGTTCTAGGAGCTAGAAAGCCAAGCACCGTATTAGTGAGGCAGATGGAAACGTGAACACAGTGCAAGTAGGCAAGCAACTCCTTACAATTTCTCCAGAGGCTCTGATCCGCCTTCCTTATCGGCAACCGATCACCCAGGCTCCAGAAGACCCAAAGCCATACAGCGAAAATGGCCGACTCGAACAGAATAACGTACCGCCTTCGCCAGGTGGATATCCCGGATCCCTCAACCAAACCGTGTAATTCAAGCAGCGGCGCAACGGCAACCAAACAAATCATCAAAACCCACACGCAGCTCTGAAAGCCAGCCTTCCGAGCCGAAGCCTCCCCCCACTCACTCACCTCACATAGTATCAACTCTGCTAGCACCCCCGTCGCGCCGAAGATGGTCGAGAAGGTTATCGCTGCGATCCTTCGTTGCCCCCTATTCTCGTGGTGAGGGTGGCGCCTGCCCGCCCCGCATAGTACCGGAAAGAGCCGCTGTAGGACAGCGAGGAAAATTATGCAGAAGGTAGCGATGAATAGAAGCGACGAGAGTGCCAGATGCGATGCTGAGTGGTGCTTCACATGGTGCGGTGTACAGTCGTCATCGCAAAGATCAGGGCCAGCCAGGGTTTCCGCCGGTGGCATTTCGGTGAAGGCTGCTGCTGCTTTCCCTCGAGATGATTGACCGGAGGACTTTACCCGAGGTATGATTCGGTTAAGAAAGGCGTGCTATTCGATTGGGGTTTTCCCGCAAAGGTGTACTACAATAATTATATCGCGGGTGTTGGGAGGTTGCAGCCTGAAAATTGTTGAAAAGTTGAAAAGCTCAGAGGTAGGGATGGTGATGACAAGCTTAGGAGTGGAAACCAGTACCGGTACCGTGTTCGTACCGTCCAGTACGGGTCAAGTACTTCAAGCAGCGATCGTCTCATCGTGTTACCCATTCACCCACCATGCGGACAGAAATGCAGGGCAGCGGTGCGGAGCAGAGATATGTATCCATAAATTACTCACACAAGCAATCCGCAAACAGTCCTTTCGGGCTCCAGCCACCATTATTTCAACCCCAAAATACTCATGATGAGAGACGCCTCCCGTGATCAAGCGCACGATAGTGATTAATTATTGCGAGTTATAACCGTCCAACCGTATTAAAGAAAGCCGCTAGAGGTGGTACAGATACAAAAACGAATGAAAGAACAATCGCAGATGCAAAAAGAAAGTAAAAGCCGCAGGGTACCCCGATTACTCTGATACCGGGAGTTGTATAAGATGTAGAAGTACAAGTCTTTGGAAAGGAAACACCAGAAAAAGAAAAGGCCACCACCAACCACCACAGCGCCAAAGCAAAATATAGCTTTTGGTACCCCCGCCGGCTACGAAAAAAAAAAGGGCCAAATGAGTTTAAGAAAGAAAGCTCCTCTAGTAGCGCCAAGAAGTTGTTTAACTCCGTCTAATGAATTTGTCTAGCGTCTCACACTAAGAGATATCGATGTTTTTCGGTGGCCATTTGTCTACGATTCGGGGCCCTTCATCTGATCCTCCATATATGCGTCAAGTCGAGATTCCCTCCTAGGTAGAAGGACTCCTCGCGGCGGTGTCATCCCTAGCAAGAGGAGCGTATGCAGAGCCCATGCTTTGGCCATTGCGGAGGTCACAAAGCCCGCTAGGTTGTGCAGGCTTGCGCTCGTCGCTATCCATGGGCTTGCCGCACATGATGCAGGCGACGTGGAGCTCAACATTGTGGGGACCAAACCCACAGTACCTCTATAAAATGTATGAGTAGATAATTCCAATAAGTAAAGCAGAGTAAAGAATGACTCACGCAGAACCAATCTGGCATGTTTATAATAGGAAGGAAGGGAAAAGATGGTTTGTGAGGCCGTGGAAAGCGATGTAAGGGGGAAGAGTATGGTGGGGTCGGATGCTTTCGAGATAGAGGGGGGGCTTGGGTGGTATATGTAGCTTTGGGGGTAGTGATCGTTCTAGGGGACTGTAGTGGACTGTCTGCTCTTGGATGAGTTTGGAAGAGTGGAGTGGAAGGAGATAACGTCCCATTTTTAAACCTTTCCAGGCGTGTGAACAAAATCCAGGGCATAGGAGGACCGTAAGGCTGCATTTGGCAGACCCCAGAACACCAATGCTGATACACTGCCATAATCTCTCATCTCCCACAATTAAGTGCGCGATGATACTGAGTGCGGTGCGAAACCAACATTCATATTACGGCAAAATGACCGCCGTGGGTTCGCAGGCAGTGGTAAGGTTAGATAACACGATAAGTCACAGAAAAGCACTCCCCTCAGGTCTCATATCTGAATCGTGATTGGGGTTGGCTGGCGCAGCCAGTCCAGTGGGAGGGGGGACGCTTAATGTTCACAGGAAGATCAAGGCCTGTCGCAGCGCAGGTACAGAATGACTTCTGTTGCCTAGCATCTCCACTGTGATCGAGACCACACACTGACACAGCGTGGCCCTAAACACTCGTCTCCGCCCCATTGCACCGTACTTTTTTTTTTTTCCCTCAACGACTGGTACCTGCAGCAAGCAAGCAGCAAGGGAGACAACAAAAGTGTCAGCTTCCACCCGGCGCCCAGAATCCCTCCCATAGAACAAGCCCCAGGCCTAGAAGGTGCGCTGCCCTCACACAAGGTGAGGCACAAAATCCAAGTTATGATACCCCACCACCACCCCATCACCCCTCCCTCAATGGGTCCATCAGACGTCATGAACCTGTAAAAATGAAAATTAAAGTCAATTTTGCCCTCCCTAACCAGCATCTCAGATATACCAGAAGTTATAATGGAGCTTACAAGGGCACTCGGAAAGAAGTCTCGCCAGCTGACATTGGAGTGAGAGATCCGGTGGGTCGGTGGGTTCTGTTGTGAGGCTCAAAAGCACCCTTTTACTCGAGTATGTTTTGGTGCCTAAGCCCCCTCTCATCACTTGGCGTTTCAGAGGAAGAGCATGGTAACGTTCCGGTATGAAGTAACCCCCGGGATTCGAAATGCTTTTCCAATTTCGCGGCCGACCAAACGTGGTTTTGATGGAAAATGATCGTTAGAATATCGCGAAATTCTAAGAGCACAGCGACGTGCGCAGAATTAAATTCTGAATCATCATTTCCTTTCATTTCAATTAGAGGGAGATGAACCGGGCAGTCCCCCTTGCGCCAGTCTCCGAGTCATGCGTTAGTCCGTGTGCGCGCAAGCGACATCGTTGCATGTTGCATCGTTAACAACCGAGCGTGAATAAGTTAATGAAGAGATGCTCAGGTCGCAAAACTAACAAAACTTGGTGATGGGCCGAGAGGTGCGCCTTGCACATTAAAGCCCCGGAGCCACATTCCAGCTTCACCAAACTGTAGCTGAGGTATAGTATCGCACGCGTACGCTCGCCTTTAGTGGGAAAAAACGGTCCGGAAAGCGAACAACTGGCCGATAGTCAGCTTGAACCTTTCTTTTGTTTTTTCAATACTGAATCGTGATTAAGGCATAGTTCTTTTTTTCCCTCTTTTCACGCTATGGTACTGTACACACAACTAAGGTATGCTCCGGAAAGAGGGAACTTTGCCGTGCTCGGTCATAGCCATGACAAGTCTAAGGCTCGTTATTCGGGGTAGCAGGTACAACTGAAAAGAGGGTGTTTATTCCGCGGGAAGAGGCGGAGTCTGGGTCTGTATGAACTCACTAGTGTCTAGAACTTGGCGCTTTGTTAGAGACATCAACTCAGCAGCTGTCTGGTCCATCCCCGAGGCTTCTTCCCTCTCATCGGAGCCCGCCCTATCGTATCGTGCGCTGTAAGACTGATCCATTTCCTTCTCCCCCCCCCCGATTCCTTCCCCCGGGCATGATGCCGTACTAAAAGCTCAACCCAGGCAAACACGGACCCGGGCGAAGTACCGGCACCTGCCGTACAAGTACGATACGAACCTCCTGAGAGGTTATCGTACACTAGGGACCGGCGGACTTTAGAGATCGATCGCAGCATCCCGGGAATTCGAGATTAGAAAGAGAAAGGGAAGAAGAAAGATCGAACACCAGAACAAACCCCGAACCACCTGATTGAGGGGATTGCTCTCTGCTTATAACCCATCAAATCGAGCACACGCAAGCTTCAGCGCGTTTCAACATAAGTGGCTCAGCATTTCAACAAAAACCCCAAGTCTCAGCTCGCCCCCTGAGGTAACCCAGCAATAATCAGCGGGTCGTGATACTTGTACTCGAGGCGGTTAGGATTCGCTCGAAACGCCCGAGCACGGGTGGCTTTCGCGCTGGGGCAGGACGAGATCACCACCCCGGGAGTGCCAAGACCGGGTAAATCGCGTTGCTACGAGTAAAGTATATTGGCTTTGTTGGTCGATGCACTCGTGCCACTAGATTCAAGTGGCCGGAACCTGAGGGAGCTGCTAGACCACTTGTGCAACAGAGTTGGCGTTTAGTCTAAACGACGCAAGCGCTCGATCGCTTGATATGACCAGTCGGAATGTTTAACCTCAAGCCGAACGAAGGTGTCAATTCGCTGGACTAGCTGAGATACCAATGGTCATAATGAACCCGGTCCCTTTCCAACAAGACCCCAAAGTGCAGAGGGTCTCAAGCCACTTTTAATTCAACCCATAGATAAAGTTTACAAGTTTCAACCCCTTGATATACGGTTCTTCAATTGCCGTGTACCATCGACCCCGCGAAATTCTCAGCCACAGCATTGGGCCTACAAAAGCCATCAAGTACCCTGACTTATATATCAGCTGCTCGCTCCGGAAAAACATATGGTCAGCCGACAGATTGGATCCCAAGAGGAAAGCCCCTTGGAATAGCTAATACTCGAGAAGATTAAACCTTGATAACATATTGTGGCCAACATTCCCTAAGCCAAAGTTCCTATTCCGGGGATCATACCGGTAAGGGCCAACGCAACAAGAGCGCGGTGCAAGCATGATATGGAGAATAACTAAATCACTTTGTTGGATGCCTTGTGCAGCTCACAGGCATATATCGTTGGGGTACGGGAGCGTCCTAATGCATGCGGTATCACTCCTCCAATAACAGAGTTCACCCCCATACAAACCGTATCCTCCGAAAAAGAAAAAAAAACATGGAAACCCGGTTTGCCGACACGAAAAGCGCCCACCAAAACCAGTCTCACCAATGGCTCCCTCTGAGAGTCTGCAAAGGCACCATCCGGGCCACCTGTGGAACAAATTGAGCCAGTTTGCGAATCATTTGCCCCGACACACTTCAATTCGACCAGCTCAAAGATCACTACTATTGGGGTTCTTACTCGGAAAGTCTTTCGTGGTGTGATACCGGATTGAACGAAGTAGTAACTCTTATTCTACGATAGGGAACCATGGTCCCGCTTACCAGCCACCCTGGCCGCGTTCGGACATTAGGATATCCTGAGGTCTTCACGCTTCTCTATTATTTGTGGCTGCAGCATTTGCTACCCCCAAATGACCATACCCTTGAGAGTAATATCCAGCGGGACATAGCCCCAAGGCATCGAGGCAATAACCACTCCGCGAGAACACCGATGCAACCTTTTGAGTCACATCAAACCGCCGCCAAAATACATCTGGATTCCAGCCAGGACGGGCAAACGCAAAACACACAACACGTGCTCCTAGGACTGCTGAATTGAACAATTTGGCCCGGAGTAACGAAACTTCTCACAAACCAACTCCAAAGACCACGCCAAAACTCTAAAGTCACACTCCCAAGTCCCATAAGCACACTCAGCATAACACCAATTCCCTAAGTCCCCTCCTACTCCGTCTTCTCGTTCCAGGCAAGCAATATCCAAAATACGAATCGCGAGCTAGTCCCGGCGCTCGGATACCTACGGATTTATTTGCCACACATTTCGCGGACCCCCGTTCTCTCATACTTCTTGCATAGAGCGAGTAAAGTCACGGAAACATCCCCAGTCCCTAGAACACCAGCCGGCAGGAAAAGGCGATCATTGACACCCACAACAGGCGCACCCCTCCCCCACCCCTAACCTCCAATTGACCGACCACCCCTGGGCCAACAGGCGGAACTACCCACTACTATATACAACGCAACCCTCCACTATTCAAGTCCGACAGCACCCAAACTATAGGTCACACACTCGCCACCTACCTACCCACATCACCTCCGCCGATTATTCGCTCCTAGAACAGGCCAAAGGGACAGACAGGCACAAGCCAACCACTTGATAGACACCCGATCAACACAAACCCCGCCATGGGGCCTTTCGGAACCTCTCCGCTAACAAACCCCCAGTCCCCACCAACAGATATCAAACTTTAGGGGGTTTCTGAGAAGAAATAAAAACGCAACCTATATGCAAGTTCAGGAGGAGGAAAAAAGAAAAAAAGAAGGGGGCTGGGTCGACCGCAAGACGTTCCATAGCACCCCAGTGCAATACATTATCGACAACATTCTCACAGCACTCGCGCGATTTCCCTAAATCTTACCATCATACCTATCCAGAAGCGGGACCCGGCTACCAATCACAAGATATGATTCAGATATGAAGATTAATTTTGATTGGCAGGTTAAACTACCGGTACAGGCGTGGCAGGCACCGCGTGAGTTGGGTTTTTTTTGGGGGGGGCGGGGGATGCGTCACCTGTATGGCCCGTGCCCGGGCACCGTGCACAGTAGGGAGGTGTGCTGGTATGGGTGTTTAGCGATACCAGTAGCCGGGGCGATAACGATAGTGGTTGATGCGGGGTGAAGTGCAGGAGTTTTCGGCTGCGGGTGCCTCACGTTGACGACGACTATCCCCATTTTCCGGGGGTTTACCGAAGCAGGCAGACAGGCGGGCGGGCAGGCGGGGAGGCAAGCAGGCGGGACAGGTGATCTGCGTTGATGATTTGTCCAAGCTAGGTACCGGCAGTATTCTCGTAATGCTGATACCCGTAAAAAAAAATGCTATTGGACACCACCAAAATACTGGTGCTCTGATCAATCTTGGCCCTACGTGACAGTAGCATCATAGCCCGTTTCACTGACCTCAAAGGCGGTACGAGCGGCGGCGGGGCCAACTGCCGCCCCCGGCGGTAGCTATCCCCCAGATCTCGTATACCAGTGACGCCGCCTTTCACAGTCCATCCCATAACCTACACGCAGGGAACCAAAAGCCCCCGAATCAAATCTGTATGATACCAACGGGGTACGCCCAGATACAAGTGCGTACCCTCCGAGTATGGTATAATATGATAAATAAAATATGGTGCCATCATACCAAAGGCCATCAACGACAAAGTCTAAGGCAATTGTCACGAAAGGCCAGCATGCACATAAAAATGACACTGTACGACACCAACTTTTCCAGAAACCTCATTCACACTATCATAGCTATGTCGGGTTTATTTATTTATTTATTTATTTATTTGTCACTACTCGACGATGCCTATATCAAGTACGAGTTATCCAGGCATTACATAGCCCTCCAGGCTTCTCGATCGTTGGAAGGAGCTTTTTGAATTACAGAAACTTTTATAACTTAACCCCTTTTCCCCCGTCCTTTTTTTTTTCTTTTCTTTCTTCTTTTCAGGTCCTCGTATCAAGATGAGCCCACACCCGCACATCCCAGGAACCCCCCTCGCTCAAGGCTTCCATTCCAGAGCACCGATACGAGGAATCATAAATTAAGTTAGAGCCCAAACCCCAATCACCATAGGACCGACACGATTAAAACCCACCAACCTTCTTTCTAAACTTAGCAGGTAAGGTATCATAGCTGGGGGGAGGAGGCATATCATAGAAAGAAGCCCGCTCCCTTTACGAATCCTCAAAGATTAACTCGACACCCCTTAGCACCGAGTATGATATCTTAAAAAGATATAAAGAAAGGACACCACCCCATCGCACTCACGGGTGGGACTCCGGCTCTGAAATCGATCTATTGTAACTATCATAGTATGTAGACGTCACGAAAGATGGACACCGGAAGCACAAGGGAAAGCGCAAAAGTCGGAGAAGAGAGAGGAAGAGGGAGGGATCTACCGTGGAACCTCTTCGCATAGCTATCACATATCCGGTACGATACGATACGATATATAACACCAATCGAACAGCACTCGTACGACATCTAGGAATTAGTCTACAGGAAAATGTGGGGCGTTGAACCCCACACACAAACAAACTTAATAATAATGTTCACTGTACCCCCTATAACAGGGGATTAAAGGAACGGTTAACCGGCGTTTGCCTATATTAGTTGTATCATATAGATGTGTGGGTTGGGGGGGGTTTTTTTATTTTATTACCCGACACTCGGTGAAGACGACCGGCGGCATGAATATGATATTATACGATGATGTCGAGGTGGGGATGGGTATGGTAGATTATTACACTGCGTGCAATCGTTTCATAACCGGATGGACAGATAGATAGATAGACAGTAAGTAAGTAAGTTGAGTGAAGATGCAACTCTAGAATCCCTTCAACGAGGAATTCGAACGAGTGATATTACTTAATCGCCCACTCTAAAATACCAGGTCGGAAAGGGAAGAAAAGAAAGAAAAGAAAAGAAAGAGCTTATAATCACGCCCTCCAACACCATCAATCATGGCAAGGCACCAAACCCCACCGAGACACCAACAAAAGTCGATCAGTCGGTCAGTCAGTGAGGAGTCCATCTCATCATATCATGTCATACGACGCCCAAACTTTTTTTTCTCTTTTCTTCGAATTCCCGAACCTACGATGAAACCGTGGATAAAAGATAAATATAAAGAAGGAAGGCGGGGGATGTTCGTCTAACTCGACCCAAAGATGGGACATGACAAACATCCGTTCGAGTTTGTGCCCAGTTCCAGATTTGGGGCTGGTCCGGGCCCATTGGTGAAAAGAAAAAAAAAACTGCACGGGTGAGACAGGCTGCTGCTCAATCGTGAATATCTACTGTATCATACGTAGACCAGATCGGAACCGCAGTGGATGATTCACAGTTTCTCACTCGTACGTGGTGGTTATGGTATGATGGTGACAGTCGAGGAGTGGCGAGGTATATGGTGTAAGAGGGAGGAGGGGAATGGTGATTGGTTTGTACTGACTGTGCGGTGGGGCGGTTGGTATGCCCGCGGATGGCAATTAATTTCGTTCGAGGTATCATAACTCCGGTAGGATTAGAATATCGCGGGTTGGATGGAGTGCATCGTACAGTATCATGCTTGTAGGCTGCTCAGTCGCGAGTATTGTGCTAACGCTAGTAACTGGTACTCGGTACTTCCGAATAGCTACAGCGTCTGAATCTCCTACATACATACATACAGATATGAACTACGGTACCGGTAGGTGGGTGCAGCGCAGCGCAGTGAGTCGTTCATAATGTCTCACTCGTGCGCGGGTGGAGTCTGAGACTTCGTGTGTGGGCGGGTAGGGACGTGGGCGGGAGGGGGCCGGTTGGTCTTTGTGTCATACGAGTTTGGGATGGGATGGGATGGGATTCCTCAGTGTGGCCCGTGCGTTATTGGGCTACCGATGGACCGGTCATGCTCCGGTGCGAGTATGATGCCGAACCAGTCCGACTATTCCAGGGTGCAAACAATGTCCTCCTGTCCATGGAACCCACCATGTTTGTATAAAAAAAACACATACGCCCCATCCGGTCCCCGGGTGGGCCGCGCGTTGCAAGCTACTATACGATCGCAAAACACTGAAATACGTGACCCGCCCAAACACACAGTCTCCACCCATTGGGCTGTAAGCTAGGGTTACCAAGTTTCGGCCGATCGGTAGCGAACTGTATTTGGGTACCGGCATTCCTTCTTGTAACTCTAAACAACCCACTCAATACCAATGATTGACTCGAGCTGCACATCAGCGGCCCGGGAAGATCGCCCAAGCCAGGCAGGTATGATAGGCAGGTAATCGCAAGACATCATTCGCTGGCTGGGTTTTTGATACGCTTGGGGTTGGGTGCAAATCTTTTGGCGGAGCAGCAGTTACCGCACTCGACTCGCAAGAGTGAAAGGTGAATAAGAAAAATAAAATGAAAGAAAGGTCCGGCCGCTCCCAGAGCACATGCCTTGCTTCAACGGACTGGATAACCTGACTTGAACGACTTTGAATAAACTGAATTGATCCGCCCGCCCATGCCATGCATAACACCCCAAGTAAAAGTAAAGTACCATACCGAACGTGGAAAAGGGAATCTCTGAAAATGAGACGAAAAAAAAAAAGTACAATAGGAGATCTGAATTTTTAACAAAACCTTGATAAAAAGCAATTGTGCCTCCCAGAGTAAAAAGGAAATGAAGTATCCACAGTTCTCGGCCAAGAGGTGATGATGACGATGATGAAAATAACAAGTAGGAAAAAACGTCAAGTGTATCGTGCAAGCCTCCCAAATAGAATTAGGAAAAAGAAAAAATGCCCCAGAAAGCGCCAAAAGGAAAAACAAAAACGATAGGGAAAACACAATCAAGTACAATTGGCGACGGGAAAACGCCATCTGCGTGGAATGAGAAGGGAAAAAAACGGCCAGAGGTATCAAAGTTGAAGACGAGTGCAGTAGGGTACAATGCTGGGTGAGTGGGTGTAGCCATGAATGTTTTCTCTGTCATGTTTTGTTTCATGTAGGTAGAGCTCAGATAACAACGCAACCACTAGGAGAGAACCTATCATACGTTAGAGATGCCGCAAATATCAAATGGGCCCGCATGGGGTACGATTGGGTGAAGTATTACCAGCGATGAGTTTCGATCTTCTTGATCCAGCCTACCACAATTTGCAGTCGCTCTCTAACGCTCGTGGAGCACAGCAGACGGTATTTCTCCGCTTCCGTCACCGGCAAAATGCTCGCGAGCCAATACGGAAAAAGAGCCGGATCATCCGGGCGTTGTCCAAAGGCCAGAATATTGTTTTCGTGGAGCCATGGAGCCGATATCGCCTGCATCTGGTCGACAAATTGGTGGCCAATATGCAACAGGGTCTGCGTGGGCAAACCCATCCAGGGGACCTGCGCTTCCTGAGCACCGGACAGGCAGAGAGCCGTCTCCAGCGCTTCGATGGCCTCCTCCTCGATGATCGGGATGTCGTCCACACGTTCCACGTCCGCCACGATATACTCATCTCGGATGCCCCATCTCTTGACCCTGAAACGTGAAACGCCAACGGTCCAAACATCGCTGCGGCCATCGGGATACATGTTTACCCCCTCGATTTGCAGCATAGTCCCATACTGCATGAAGGGCGTGACACCGAGATCGCCCTGCGGTGCACCCGTACGATTCGGCAGCAGCATCCCGAATTTCCTAGTACCACTCTCGCAAGCCCGTCGCACCATGAGTCTATAGCGAGGCTCAAAAATATGTAGAGGCGTAGGCATCCCAGGATAAGAGGCCGTACAGACAAATATCGGGGTCAACAGCCCGCCATCACCACTCCCAGCCATCGACTCGATAGCCCCAGCCAAGGCCCGTTGGGAAAGAGCCTCCGGACATAGCCCCACCAGTAATTCCGTTAGTCTCTTATTGCTAGACTGTGCCGGTAGTACGGATGGAAGGTGCATCAACCGTCGACAGGAGGGGCAGTGTCGAGAATGGTCCAGAACCCGCTCCAGGCATCCCCGGCAGAAAGTGTGGCCACAATAAGTCGTGACGGGATCCAAAAGCATTCCATAACAAACCTGACACTCCAAATCCGTCCGAGCCTTGTCCATCAATCTCTCCAGAGCGTCGTAGTCCAGGTAGGAAGGGCCAAAATTGTCGCCCAACAGAGGAGTGCATGTCACATCCTCGTCATGGTATAATTCCGCCTGCTTTGAAAGGCAATATATAGCAGCCAACCGCCCCCCATACATCCGCCTCCTCCGCTCTTCATAACCTCCCGCGCAGCCAACAGTCACAACCACTTCCAACGCCGTGTCCTCCGTAAACCGCGTCTGCGATCCCAGCTCCTTATCCACAATCTCCATCACCTTTGCCAGGGTAACATCCAAATTACAGTCGGCAGCAGAATGTTCCTTCCCGCAATCCGGAAAGGGGCACGAAAATCCTTCCCGTCGACCGGCGGTGCTGGGGTACGAGATGTTTTGGCGAACGTAGCATTCGGGCATGCATTTGTGGCAGAGCGAGTTGCCGCAGGGTAAGGTCCTAGGGGATCGCAGAGGTAACGAACATACCGAGCATTGTGTAAGCCGTACGATAGCGCGGGCGTCTTGAAAAGCATCGAGTCCCGGCCGCGGCGAGATATCGGGGGAAGGTAGAGCTTTCTCCACGACATTGTCCGCGGCCGGCTCGAGAATCGTTGTGCGCCCTTCACCCGGTTTGGGCTCCGGGGCATCTATGAAAAGGTGTAGCGGCTCCAACTTGACGGCGTTATAACAGGAAGGGTCGGGATAAAGGGTAGATGATATCTCTCGTCCGCCGTCAATCCATGCAAGAGCTTATGCGTGTGGTTCAAGTGGAATGGGGGGGGGGGGTAGGTAGAGATGGTGGGATGAGGGAAACAAGGAAGGGGAAAGGGAAAGGGAAGGAAAAAAAATAAAAATAAAAAAAATAAAAGTAAAGAACACAGGCCTTTAGCAAGGGGATGAGGGAAGGGGGAGGGGAGGAAAAATGAACAAAAGGCCCTGTTCGAATGCGGGGCGGGTTTGGGGACGCCGATTGGTGATCCTGCGGTGGACGAACGCCAGCCGCAAGGTACGCGGGAAATGATTTGGGTTGAGGCAAACCCACTTTTTTTTTTTTTTTTTCGCCACACACAGCCAGCAGCTCTTGAAGGAGGCAGGAGTATGTGGAATCCAGGTCCCTTTTAATGGATAGAAATCCTGGCGCCCACTCCTCGGGAACTATGCCGTCTTCCGCAGCTCCTGCAAGCTAATTCCGTCCTGTTTCCAAGCTGCGGGGAATTTCCCCCTAGGAGTGGTCGAGAAGTATTAGGTTCTGCACTGCAGTTGGTGGGAGGAATAATGGGGAGGGAGGGAGGGAGGGAAGTGAAAGGGAAGAGTTGGCGCGTGAAGCAGGTAGCTCAAGAAGGAGTGAAAAGTGAAGGAGTGAGTGACCGGGATGTAGGGGGTTGGAAGGAGAACAGGGAGTGATGTGGGTGAGGTAAAGGGAAGAAAGCGTGAGGGAGAGTTAGGGGAGGAGGAGGAGTTAAACGGAAGGCCGAAGAGAAACGAGAGGCCGATTCAATGCTTCGATCTCGATTGATGATCGACTCCTTGATTTCTCGATGGTGGCAAGAGAGGTGTACGAGTACACTTGGAATGGGGGAACGTGCCAGCGCTGACCACGAGCAACAACAACAGACAGCAAGAGAGGGAAGGAGAAGGGAAGGGATGAAGAGAGAGAGAGAGAGAGAGAGAGAAAGAAAGAGAGAAAGGAACAGACAAGATGGAGCTTTGAGGAGAGACGACCTCTTTTTCGTGACCCAGCAGAGAGATGTTAAAACCCAAGGCTACACCAACATCTGGACTGTTCTTGAAAGGGGGAAGGGTGTTGGACAGGATAGGAGGGCAAAGTTTACGTTATTTTTATTTATTCCTCTCCCCTTCTTTCCCTTCCTCGGCTTCTGCTTTTTCGGTTTGACCCTGTCTT